TGTCTGGCTGCCTTTCACCCAGAGCTCGTCTATCCTTCGGTGCTTAGTGCGCAGGCAGCAGCGGTCCCGACAAAACTAAGCTACGTAGTAGACTCTTCGATCAAGACGGTGGTGTGAGGGAGACAACGCCGACGCACCAGAGGAGGATGAAGTGAGGGATCTAAGGCCCAGCGCTACACTATGAGGTGAGGAAGACGAGCCAGCCGAGGATACTGCAGAGGAAACACAGAGCGGGAATTCGACAGAGAGAGGGGATTCCGCGGCGAAACTTTGTTGAGTGAGCTCGACCGCCCACCCACCAGCCACAACTATTGATCGGGAGCCATCAGCAAGCTAGGTCAGTGGGCCTCCAGCGAAAGCGAAGTTCGGCTTGACAAGCATTCGGACCGGCACGACGACGAGGACGACCCGCTTCCCTCCGAATCATCGACACCAGCACCGAATATCGGGGGTCCTCGGAGCGGGCCGGTAACGAACACGTAAAACACGGATGTTCGGACGAATTATCCGCCGCGCCGCCGGTCGGAAGCAACCCATGGGCGAAGCATCCACGTGTGCGAGCGACTCGGCCTTGTCCCCGGGGACATCAAATTGTTCGAAAACCGATCACGAAGTTCGGTGTGGAAATTCCACCCCCGTAGGATTCATGGTGCGAGTCTATCGATTCGGCACTCACGACAAGCTAAATCGACAGAATCGTTGGGCGTTCACCGCCGGTTCGTGGGTCACATCCCACAATCCTGCTTCCATTCGATAATAGGAACGACACCCGCTCTGTCGGTCCGATAACATGTCGTCGGACGAGTATTATTGGCGAGACAGTACGAGAGGTCGACTTCTGACATAATCCAATCACTCGCCTAACTCGAATAGGCGTTCAGACCCCGCATGCTGCTCTGTCAGCAGAAATTCCATGATAGGTTCGTTTGATTTTGAGAATCGCCCCATCTATTCCTTGGAACTCATTCAAGGACAACTTGGAGGAAGAGTTCGACCGGAGTCTCGACAAATGAGATATTGAACCGCTGTTCTCGTGAAGCTCGTACACGACGACTATCACTGCCTGCCTGAGTGGAAGTTCGCATGAGCGGCTGTCCTGTCGTCGACGATCGACAAATGTTTACCGAGGGTCGGTACCTAGAATGACAATGACGACGTCTGAGATCATGCTCGATATCGAGGGAAAGCGTCTGTCGAGTCTCGATCGAGTGCAATCATCGAAGAATATCCGAGCGATCAGAACTGGAGCCGAGAATTGAAGTCCCTCCGATCACTCGATTAGCGGATCCCGATAAGTCTAGATAAGCCTCGATCGATAACTCTCAAACGCTCCATCGTCTACGGAAATTCGTAATCGAATGTAGCGAAATGTTCACTTCGATCGCCGGGGTAAAGAGTAGAATGTTCCCGAATATGTATAGGTTTTAGAGGAACAAGCTCAAAAACTTGAGAAGGAACAAGCTGACTGGGCCATCGATGGACTCGATGTACGCCGCTCGAACAGCAGTGTCACGAACAGACACCGAAATACATCGAAATCGACCTTGGCGGCGGCGGCGACGACGACGACGACAACAACAACGGCAACGACGACTCCGCCCTTCATGATCCCAGCCCAGCTTAGCATCGATGGATCCACGGACCGACTGGTCGAGCGAGCAGCGACCGACCGACCGAGACACTAGCAGACATTCACAAAACATTGGCTCAGCCTAATACATAATTCCCCTCACACAGCACACGCACATCGGGTTGAAATCGCCGATCGGATCGTTGTCCGACGTGGTGTCCACGATGATTTCAATGTGAGCCCCCTCCATGCGCTCGGCTTCTAATGACCGGGACGTTTTTGTTATCGATCGATCGGAGACTCAACGCCGGGTTCGTTGTCGAGGCTCGGGCTCGTTGTAATCGCGGCTGGAGAGCACTGGACTCCTCGTGGATTTTGATCCCATGATCTCAAGGAGTTCCATTCGCGGAGTCAGCACGACGAGTTATTCAGCCTTTCCTTGATATTCAACGACTTTGTTCTAGTCTTGAATTTTTCTCTGCTCTTTAATTTGGAATTCAGCTCACATAATAATTCAAACGGCGGAAAGGTCTTTCAAACGAAGCGAGACGCGAGTCTCTTCGACAACGACTCGAGAACGTTTTGAAGATATGGCTGTATACAAAAAAAAAAACTGTGCGCCTGTTTGCTTGCACGAGAGCGTCGACGACGACGGCGCCTCCTTCCGCACGTCCGCTCGTCCCCTCCCCCTTGGACTCGCCCCCGACACGTACCCCCTTTATTTTTCCTTTCTTTTGTGCTTGCTCGCCGACGAGTTCAGTCGTTCTACGCTGCCAGTGCGTTGATATAAAAAGTCCAACATGTTCCGTTGATTCTTCGCCCGGCGCACTTCTCCGGATTCGGTCGTTTCCTTCGATTTCGTTCGTCGTCTTTATTTTAATTCGATTTAAGCAACCGACCGTCCGATCGGAGGACCGACCAACGGAGGAGCATTCGGTTCATTTCTGCCTCAGTTCTGTTCTGACTGAGTGAACGAATTAAAGCAACGAACCGACGAGCGGGAAAAGAAGGAGCGGAATCAAAACGAGAAAGCAGATAAAGGAAGGTCTAACTCGCGGAGTAGACTGACTCGCCCCTCCCACGGCTGGAATCTCAAACGGAACATGGACTTCTATTCCTATGAACCTGTCACCCGGGAGGGTTTGCTCAGACTTTTTCGAATCCTGGTGGAGCGTTCCGGAACCTTCGAAGCGCGGCGCACAAGTGTGTACATAGATCCGAATATTTTAAAGGATCGACGTCGCCTACATCAGCTGTACATAGAAGAGTGGTTCGCGTGCTCATGGAAAGCATGCAATCGTGCATAACCGTGATAAGCTCTTTGACTGGAAGAGAGAGAGAGAGAATTCTAAGGTTTGAGGTGCGCGGACCGTGCCGAGCACATCGAGAGGATTTTTCGGGCAAGCTCTCGTGTGGGACGAGGGAGAACGTCGAGGTGATCTACTCACGGCATGCGGCCCGATCTCTTCGTGTTCCATTACGGAAGTATGGAAGAGCTCAGCTCCGGGTCGGACGACCGCTGTGTCGTACCCTTCGTTATTTCATCCGGCGGACGGCTCTTTTCCCGGTCACTCGTTTGTTCTGCTCGCCTGCGCTGCTCCAGCGAGCGAGCGCCCTGAAGTAGCTGTTCCTCTGTGAGTTCAATCTGTTAGCCCGCGTACATTAGTCCTCTGACAGCTAAGTGAGAAAAAGATGGAAGGGGGAACGCGGGACGAAAAATGAAAAGCAGATACGGCCAGTTCTGTGAAGGTTGGAAAGCCACGGGAAAGAGCCTGCGGCTCACACGGGATATTCAGGATGAGAGCCAAGCGGCCAGGAGGGTACACAGAGGACGGAAGGAAGAGAGGAAAAAGATGAAAAACGAGCTTTTCGAAAGAGATAGGACACGGAAACGGTCGTCGGGGCATGAAGTGAAATTCGATAAAATGCGATAGCTATTGATTTGTGATTAGGGCGACCATTGGGTCGCTCCGTTGGGTCTTTCGGCCTGTCTGGCCTCTCGCCGGCTGCCCGTTTCGCCAACGACCGTCCGACCGGGCGAGCGGGCGGGCGGGCGGATTGGTGCCCCTTGCCATCCGCTTAACGTTAATTAATACCTCCCCGTCCCCTGGCTCTTCCGATAGCTCCTCTTTCAATCGTCCGATCTCACCCACAAACTTGCCACCCTCCACCTGGCAGCAGCAGCAGCCGCCGCCGTCGTCGTCGCCAACAGCTAGCAGAGAATTCAAAGTTCTCTTCTGAGTGAGCCGCCGCCGCCGACGTGCTTTGGAATAGAATTAACTGAAGAGGGAAGAAGACGGGGCTGGCGGACCGATGAGAGGGGGGAGGGACTGGAGCTGGAGACGATAGACATGGGAGACAGCTATTTGAGATTCGAGCCGAAGTCGAACGAGCAAACTTCGAACAAGCCCTACTGAGCGGCCGGAGGAGAGCGGGGAAGAGGATCACATGAGAAGCCGTTTAAATAAATAGATAGATAGTATTAGGGGAGGATCACCAACTGTTTCAGTCTGCCAAGGGGTCCCCCAGAGAACCTACCAGCTACCGACCGCCTGTTCATTCCATCGGCGCGCTCAATCCTTTCAATGGAGCTCCATACTGGGTCGAATTCCTTGCTCCGCTGAAGCAATCCCAGTAAATTCAAAGCGCCCCATAGGTACCTTCCATCTGAAACTGACCGGGACTTGTTAATTGGTATTTCGCCCCTCTCTCTCTACCGCTGCATCAGCCGGTCCGGCAGAGCTGACTCTGATTTGCATTCCAAAGCGGGCGGGCATACCACCGAGCTCGCTTGAGCAGCCCGCGCGGCCTTGCTCCCGACGCAGCGTGCGCCTGCCTCGAGTACGTAGGAACACACGAAGAACTCGGTACGAGCCCGTATACTTCGAGTGAGTAAATGACCACCGCCGAGGATGTCCAACTGTCAAGGCGGGCGGGCGGACGTAAGAGAGTATGGCAGGGGGTAATCACGACACGCCATAAACACGCTCAGACTAGTTGTCCAGTGTACGATTTCGTTGACGTCGTCGTTGGCGCTAAACAACCGCAGCCATTATGCTTCATGCTGCTGGTCGTGATGGTGTTTATATCGCGCACGGCTGGTTGTTGTCTGAAGCGATGTGCCTGAAACAACAACGAGCGAGGCTTCTTCAAACCGAGCGTTTAAAGACTATGGGCGGAAGGTTCCGGACAGATAGACAACGGCTTGCAGGCGCTAAAGTACGCACTTCAGCTAAGTAGCTTATGACATGACGTCGACGTGTTATAAACTGAACAACACGCAGACACCACCGGCCCCCGCGTGGCCGTGAATGAAGCAGCTCGGTGAGCTTCGCTCAACATGGCGCAAGTCCGGCCTGCTGCCCTGCTGTAGGTACATATTCATTCACGGATACATAAGTCGTATTTCGGGCTCTGCTCCGGGACGTACGCGATGCCGTCCTCGCTGTTGCAGCTGTTGTACTTATTGCTTCTGTTGTTGTTGTTGATGTCGTCGACGGCATCGTCCGGTAGGTCGGCAGCGACGGTACCGTTCTGTGCCTGACGAACAGAGCAGGCTGCAAAATTTGATGATGCTCCGTACTTTCTCTAGAGATATCACGCTCACTCGATGGCCCAACTACGCTCCAGGCTCGTAGCCCGGAGGCTTGCCTGGTTGACCGGTGAGCAATCGAGATACTGAATGGCAATACCCTCGATCGATAAATCTTATATGCGATGGCATCATGTGTTCAGAATGGAAGGAGCCGTCTTGGACGAGCCGGACGTCGATATAAGGTCAGGCCGGTAGAGGTAGCTCCTGAAAGAATCCCTATGAGATGACGCGATCATTATCGAAGAACGAGCTGCCCGATTGACCGGGCTTGTCGCATAGCCTGCTAACAAGGTAGACGCGGCCTTGAGGAAAACTTTCAACTCACCGATAGCCAAAGTTGCCGTTTTCCGGTCAGACCCTCGCGTCCTTGACCTCCGGTAGTTTCGGAAAAAGAAACAACTTCCTGCCTCTGTCGAATCTCGCTTGCGGGCCTAATTCTGTAGCTCAAAGACGTGCGCTAGAATGCCTGAATATTCCGTTCCAATCGATTCATCGGGCTCGGAACATGAGCCCGATGAGGCTACCGCTCTCAACAAGTCCGTGGCGGAACTCCGACACGCTACTTCCCTCTAGAGGGATAGATCGCCTTTGCATTCCGATGCCCGATCGATGAATTTGTCTGGTTAGTCGACAGAACGTTCGAGTCCACCTATCAGCTTCGGAATCTCGTCTTTGCGACTTGTCTAATCTGAAGTCAAACCCTCGATCGTGCTCACGAGCGCTTTCCGGTTTCCGTCATGAGCAATTCAGCGAGCGTCTCCAATAGCCGAGGAAGCAGTCTCGGAATGACTGACTCATCACGAACAGGAATTCATCTGTCTCGATAATTTTTTTTGAAAATACGTCCAAAGATTCCCAATGACTGCCCCGTAAATACTGGTCCCTCCCGCGTTGATCCGCTAATCGAGTCTCCTTAGCGCTCCGTTGAGAAGACGCGGTCTCTTGGAAGTTCGATCGTTTTCGAGAGAGTTAGCAAGAACACTCGAAACCGTCTTGATCAGCATCATCATCATCATCATCATCTCCCATACCACAAACAAGTCTCCAACGTAATCGAGACGATAAGGGACTCTCGAAATAGTTCTCGCTCGAGCCTTTCCAGCGTTGTTTGTCGTTCCCGGACAGAGTTTTTTTCCCCCCCAAAAAGCACAAAGAAAAATCGGTCAGGTATTCCACAGGATTCTCCACTGCGATTTATATCAGTGCAGGGCAAACTCGTCATTCAAGACGGGACGTCACGACGCAATTAGCGACGACTCTAGAGTAATACGTCGCCGCAAGCGATCAGTCTGGCGTTCAGCGAGTCTCCCTATGTGTACTGGAAACCTTGTCTCGATCAGAGTCGGTTTCGACGGACGAGACAAGAGGACTGAAGTAGGATGTTCCATCGAGCTGGCTCATGCGTTGCTCTTGGGCGGGGATGATTGTTGGGAACGGATTCATTCATGATCTATGGATGAGGGGTGTCCTGCGCACAAGATGATTAATTCGAATATCGTAAGACATCCAGAAGGAAAAAGAACAACAGGAAGAAGGAGCGAGCTCCTCTCCCCGGCAGAAGCGTCGAGGAATGGTGGATACGGGGGGGGGAAAGAAGGAGACAGTGCCTAAATATTTATAATATACACACAGCCGGCAAAGCGGGCGGACAGGCACGCAGGTCGCAGGGCGGCGGAGGAGGAGACGGCAGACAGTTCCCCGGCAGCTTTCGAGTGCTCCACGAGACTCTTCTCCATCCGTTGTTCAGGGCTTCTTGTTGCATACATAACGTCGTAATCCTATGAACAGCATTTTTCGTAGCTTCTTTCCGAGGCAACTTGCGACTTCTCGGCAGCCGACCGACCGGACGAACAAGCGGCCGGTCGGCTGGTGCGCTGGCTGGCTCTCGGTCGGTTGCTCGGTCTGCCGAGAGAAAGAGGGTCAAAGAAGATGGGAAGTCGGAAGAATTCAAGGAATTTCCCCAGAAAAAGAAGATCACTTTCGATGATATTCAGTTGTCGTTGTGGTTCGTCGTAACAACAATAACCGGGGTGGCTGGAGGGTACGGGGCGGAGGGGGGAAGGCGAACGACCGACCGACGCGACGTCGACTTGGTGGACGACGATGAGGAGACGAAGTGGAGCTTCGCAAACTTTTTTTCGGTGGTCCTCGGTTGTTGGACGACTACCGTTTGTTGTGCTGATACACCCCGACCATCTGCGCAGCAACTTTAAGCGACGACGAACTTCCTCCTTTGACAGCATGTGTCGCAACGGTGTTCTCCTTGACAGGCGTTACTTTTTCGACGCGTCGTTCACCTACACTGTGTTCGTTGTTGTCGACGGGGGCGGCGATGGCTTTTACTGAATGAGTCGTGTGCGTTGATGAGATCGACGCCGATTCCTCTTTGAGCCTCAGGGAATTCGCGTTCGCTTGACGTTGTTCATCGTTGTTGTTGTTGTTGATGTTGTCGTCGTCGTCGTTGTTGTTGTTGTCGTTGTTGTCAGCTTCCCGAACGAACACGAGAACGGGCTCATCGACATTTCCAACGTCGGCGATGGCGGAATCTCCGACGACAGATTCGGCGGATTCCTTCGCACGAACGACCGCGGAAGCCGGTGCAGCGGGATCGACGGCGACTGCGTTCAGGATTTTCGTCGTCGTCGTCGGAGCGCTCGTTGGACGTCCGATGGTGTTTTTTGCAGCCCCAGCCACGGACACAATCCGGGGCGATGACTCGTACATATCCGCCGCCGATATCGTGTCCTCCCTCAAGTGGTTGGGAAGCTCGGCGGCCTGCCCCCCGGCGGAGACGACCACCGCCACGACAAGCACCAACGAAACCTGCAAACACGAGTCAGCTAAATGCCATGTCTTGTTCGTTACTCTTCCGCAGCATCCGCGAGCGGGGACAGGGACGGCGGCGACAACAACAACGACAGCTGTTCGGCTCGTGAGCGGCTTGACGGGTGGACGAGAGCTCTGTTCGCCAACATCCTACCACCCCTTATTCCCGCGGAGCGGTCTCTTTCATCTAGTGGCGAGCTTGAACGCAGCCGAACTGCTGCAGGGAGGACCGCTGCGTAAACGCCGCGGGCTTGATGAACGAAGCCGCGGAGCTCCTCTTTGCTTGTTCTTACTCAAGTTCCACAACAAATAAGCGACTATCCCGGTTGTTGTTGCCGCCTGCCTGCCCGCGCGCCCGACCCACCGACCGAGAGCCGTACGCGCCGTTCCATCACTGCGTTCACCACTTCCACCAAGCGGGATAGTAGATAACACAGTAGGCGGAAGCCACGAGTAGGGGGAGTCGATGAGGTCCAATACTCGATCCTTTTAGCTTACCGCATTCTGTTTGTTCATGATTCACTTGTGCAGTCCCGATGATGCGCACGACGATGGATGTGTCGATGCCAGGATCGGCGGTCGACGGAGGGATCTCTCACGGGCCCGATGGGAGCAACAACTCTCAAACAAGAAATTCGAACCCGAAAGGTGCGAGCATTCACGCGCTCGGAGCCACATGCGCAGGTCGACACCACCGCCGCCGCAGACGTCGCCGCTATTGCCGTATATCACGAGAGGGAAGGAAAACTTCTTTCCGTATCGAGAGCTGCCCGGCGGACTGTCGCAGATTAGTGCCGAGAGCCGAATACCAGGTAATGCCACTCGCGTGACTCTCGACCCGTTGACGTCTCGATTCGGAGAATTCGCTGGCATTGCGAGAACATGGACGCATGGCCGGAATGTGCATCAGTTCCTCGAGTTTCCACTGAGCTAGCAGATTTTCTAAACAATCGGTCTCTCGCTGCATCACTGCAGTTCACCGGGAATGTTTCTCGTGTGCGTCGAGGTGACTCGATACAGCACGTCACGGGAAACGATGCTCTCGAACTTTGGAGAACTGCAGTCTCGACTCTTATATGGAATTTATTGATTCTGAATACCCTCGAGCGCGACCTCCGAAATGTCGAGCGGATGTCATCACCTTCGGAATTCCAGTCGCGCAGCTCCTTCTTTGGGAACGTGATTTACGGTTCACTGACAGTGAGACAAGAGCCCGGTGTAGGGTCCGAAGGCTCGGCGCCGCTTCAAAACGAGCCTCACGATCCTTTTTCCGAATTGTACTCGGAATACGGAGGGACCCACCGATAGAGCCTCCAACCGATGGAACTACGAGCAGCCGTTCGACCGACGGACCGACCGGGCGTTTGACCAACCAACGAGGTCACAGGGGGCCGGGGCGGCTATCTGAGCGAAGCCGAATCCCAGGCTGCCGTCGGCACCACCTCCCCGATTCCTCGATTGCCGCACTCGCGCGGGTTGGGGTGTCCAAAGCGATTTTCGGTCGGAGTTTGAAAATTCTGACACAGCACGGTCCATTCCACAGCCAATCGCTTCGATTGAGAGTCATTAGTCATCTGAATTAGCGCAGAAATCGGGAACCGAGTCTGACGGGGAGCTTCAAACGCACGAGGGACATCGAGGGCGGAGGGGGCACACGTCGAGGGCCTGGGTTAACGGACGATTGGGGAATTCCGAATTCATTAGGCATATGACGTCCAAGTTTTGATGGAGATCTCCCATTGGCACAGAGTGGGAAAGGTTCGGTTTGGCGGAAATGAAAAACTCTCTTCAACCTTGCGCGTATCGCAACCTGCGTAAGTTGCTTGTGTTCGACGGCAAGGCCGAGGGAGCGTCCGACTCCGGCAGCGATAGAGCGAGCGTCGATTAATGAAGCTCATTGACAACTCGGGCCGTGAAGAGACAAATCGACAGGACATGCAGCAGTCAATCCGAGACGTTCATTGAAGAGAACGCATTTTGGCGCAATCATAAATGCATCGACGACGCCGAGAGATGCGAATGACTACGGCGACGGTCCCTCACAATTTGGTCCTTGTCGCAGACTTGGTGGCACCCAACAACGACGCAATGTCGGCGACGTTCACGAATCGCTCGGTAATTCAACCCGCTCACCCATCACTTGAATATTTCCTTTGCTATCCAATCCTCAAGCTCGTCGCCCCTGTTCTCCCCAAACATTCTCGATTAAGTCCGCGGTGCATATCGAGATTTTCGAACATTTTGCGTCGTCTACCTCATTATTGTGAGTTGCTCTGCGGAGCTACGGCGAGACGATCCTCAACCGAGCGCTCTCGAACGATCGACTTGTCGGAGAAATGAGTTCGGTGCCATGAATGGATGATTTCGACTGCCCCTAAAACTACCGACCGATCGACCCTTCAACTGGCTGGCTGACTGATTGAGTGGTCGGGCTCGATGTCCACTTGGCCGGCTAGCGGTGGCGATCGAAGGAGGCCGAATATATTCCATTTGCATTGGTTCCGAAACGAATTTCGGCGATATGTACGGACCCAATGATCAGACCGTCTCTATCGGAAACGCGGTCTCCATTGAATAAGCCTCCCATCCTGATCGCTCTGTAAGAATTCTCGAAGGTCCCGACCTCGATGAGCGGCGATCTTCATCGTCCAAGAATTCAATCACTTTTCAGCGAGAATTCCAGTCCGACCGCTCATTGAATGCAGCGCGGCGCTGACGGGTTCCGGCGACTCATGAGCTCGCTCCGGCCATTGTCTCGGTGTCTGTCAGGAATAGCCATGCGGACGATATTAGCCCTGTTTCGTTCAATTCGAAAACTGGAATCGTTGCGGTGGGACGCTCGTAACGGTTCGTGAAGGGGAGGGGGCATGGCACGACCCCTTCTCTATATATCAGCAGCGGCTCCTCGCATTCCGGGCCGACCTTCTCGCAAGAAAATCTCGGCGTCGGAATTGTGATACCATGTCGTGATACCACGTCCAGACACGGTTCGGCTCCGGAGGAAGCTTCGCCGTCGTTCTCGAAGAGTCTCTTCAATCCAATCTGGAAAGCATCGTCAATCGTTCTCCTTAGACTTTTCCAGAGAAATCGGAAGGACGGGCGTCGTTGGTGGACAAGGCGGATTGAGAGTGAATAGTCAAGCGAAAGACTCGCTCGCTCGGTCTTTGGTTTATCCGCCCGCTTGTGCATTGCTAGCTCCATCCGGACCAATGGACGGACAGAGGGACGGACAGGCAGATAAACAAACTATGATATATGACCTGCGAGGCATCGATATCCGGTGAGAGGAGGGAAGGAGGGAGGTAGCGAGGGCGAAAAGGACCGATGTGACGCGCCGCCGCCACCGAACGAAAACGGGGGAGAAAAGCGTGGACACTATTTGTCAATGATGTGCGCCGCGTGTCCGATTAAGCCCCCGACGACGCCCGTCGACGGTTCTTCCGACGGCACGTAAATGGCTGACAGCGTGAAGTCGGCTTAGGCTTCGAGCCGCCGCCGCTCCTACCATTTGATTGATCGCATCTCTGTCATCAAGTCACGTCCTAACGAGCCCGTACGCCGTCGACGCGTCTGCCCGAAGAGTCGTTCCGCTGCTATATCGCACCCCACCCCACGCAGCCCCAACCCCCATGCTACTCCCCCATCCCCCTCAGCGAGCGCCAGCTTTATATCAACCTGCGGGAGTTCGCCGACAATATGCTTAGGTCCTCCGCCGGCTGGGCCGATCTGCGAGAGGGAGAGAGACGGACGTACAAAAAAAAGAGCTCTCCCAAATGGGAATGCGAGCTGTGATATCCCCGCGATACTGAGTGATGCCGGTTAGACTCGATGCGACACAAACGCGATGCGCTGACTGAGTGAGTTCGATGTGCTTCCCGACCGAAGTCCAACTCCGGTCCGAGGTCTGCCCGTTCCGATAGAATGCAGGGATCTGCCCTGCCCCCTCCTCTCCTCCCATTCAGCTCGCCCCCCTGCACGAGGAAGGAATTGATTTAGACCGAGGGGAAAGTCCGCCTTTTCAATGTTAGCCTGCTGACATTTAGCCGAAAAATCACGTCCTCCCGCAACTAGACGAAATTCTCCAAAAGTTCGTCTGCGGAGGGAGACTTTCAGTCTCTGGGGTCTGTTTTGAACTTTAGTCGGAAAGCGTATGTGTTGCCCGAGCTGCGCAGATTTTCAGAGCAACGAAGAAGAATGGAGGGGGATGTTCTGCGTCGGTTTGCGGAGCGCTTTTCTTGCCATTCCACGGCGCGGGATCGAGAAATTCATCTTCTCGAAAGCAGGTGAATTACCTGTGCACTGGTGATTGATAAAATCGAATCGATGGGGTACGCGGTCCTGCGAGCTCCATACGTCGCCCCTGTCATCGAGATCGAGAGGCCGCAAAAAATAGAGTGAGACGAATTCTGAACATGCATCTATCAAACTTGTTCTCGAACCTGGCCGAGGCAGACAGAGATTCCAAGATCGATATCCGGGGCGAATGATTTCTTCCGCCGAATCGGTGAACGATTAGGGAATGACGAGAGCAAAATAGCTCGTCGATGGAGGAAAAATGTTTCGTTTGGACTCCGGATCTGATATCCTCGCTCTTGTTTTCCGCTCGTCTTCGTGAGCTTGATCCTTGCGAGAATAATCCATCGGAATATGAAGCCCGAAACCGCAAACAAGGCCAGTAAGTATGCGTATGTGATTTTAAAGTGAGAGTAAGCGACTGATTGATCTGTTTTGAGATTGTGGCGCTCTCCAACTTTCTCCAAACGTCGAACATCGCACGGAGTGTTTGTCGAGCTTTTTGTATGCGAGAACTTTGTTAGACGCTCGAACTTGTTATCCTGACGACTCGGCGCAATAAAGCAAGATAAATAGGGGAGATAAATGATTGCAAATTGAAATTCCTTTCATTAGAGCACTGCGAGCTGAATCGCGCGCGGGTGCTTGAACTCTCGGATGTTAGATACTTCCCCCTGATTTTGGCGCTTGGGGTTCTCACAGATCGAGTTCCCCTCTTCGTTCATTCAGTCAGTGCGATCGCACGAAAAATTGTTGGGATCTCAATCAAGGGCTAGAGGATCTCGATCCTAACGGAATTTTTTCTTCCCTTCCACTACGGAGGATATCCGAGAAATCGAATCGTCCCGGATCAGCAATATCAGATGTTTAATATTCGCATGCTAGGTTTGACGGAAACTTCGAGGAATGCAGTTTGGAGCCGATCTTATCTCGTAGCGATCGTGTCTGGCGGAATTCTTCGACTTCCGGAGGAGCTCGAGGACGCAATATCCCGAAACAATGCAGTCGGAGACTTTCTTCCAAGTCTCGGGTCATCGTTCTCAGTCAGGTAATCATCAGAGTTCGAGGGCCCGAGGATCGAACATCGCGCCTTTCTGTGCGGTCTCTTCCGTGGAGTCATGGTCTCCCTGAAAGAAGAACTCGATTGAAGAATTCGGGACAGCTTGCGAATTTTTCCCGATTATTCTCCCCACTTATTCTCAATTCTACGCATTTTGTCCCTCGAGAGGGGGCAGGGCCCAGCAATGCTTCGGAGACAGAGAATCGCAGCTCGTGAGCGCTCCGGAATTTGAACATAGGTCACCGCCTCAGGAGCGATACGTTCAGCGGCAGGGGGAAAGGAGGAGGACTGACGCAAAAAGATATCCCGAGACTGAAAAAGCCTGCTGGTCGAATAGTTCCAGTATCTGTATCAATAGTTCGACTATCTCTTCCCAAGTCACACGAGTGATTCTCGATCAGATTCCATTCATGGCCTGTTGTACACGGACGACGGGGTCAAATTTCGCCGAAGCTCCGTTATGCTCGGGCGTTATGTACTCTTGATTCCACAAAAAGATTTTGCTCCTATGCCGATATATCACATCGAGATGTTCACACAGTGGAGCTCACATCGTGAGTCCACTCTATGGAGAGGAGCTGCAAAGGTCTTCCTCAGCTCCCGGCCCCCCGATACTCCGATCTCGGATTCTGGCAAAATGAACTCTGACTTCTACCGGGAACATTACTTGCTCGAGAGGGATCCATGCACAGAAAACGCAGGTCTACCATCACAGCTGTGACATTGAGTTGATTGTCCTAGACCTAGTCGGAAGGGTTGGGCTTTTGAAGCGTGAGCTCAAATGAGTCGTCGATCCGCCGTGGAGCTCGGGCTAAGCGGTCGGGGAATCAGAGCGCTCAGTCGTGCATTTCACGACGTGACCTTTTCTGCATGAAGTGCAGCTCCGCTTTCCCAATTTGCCCCACGACCCCAGGGCGTGAGAAGACGCCGAGCGGGCGAAGAGCCGAGCGATTGCAGGGAACTATCTTGCTTGCGCCCGCTTTCTTGGAATATCTCGACGATATAATTTTGAAGGCTGCTGGGCAATCCACGGTACGACACATGCGCCGCGACGCAGACCGGATGGCTCCCCGGGAGGACAAGTGAAATGTCAACCGGTTCACGACGCTAGAAACTGCGGAGATTATTCTCCTTCTCGCGCTTCCTAACAAGGCACGGTCCTTCACGGAGGAAACGTTCGATTCACCCTGCGAGTTCCGACTTCTTCCTCAACTTTTCTAAATTCATCATATCACGATATATGCCCGTGTCCGAGGTGAACCATGTCCGTGCTGCTGGATCCAGAACAAAGAAGCCGGTGAGCCCCCGCATAAACTTCGGTGTGTTCATATATAGAATGTTGGAAGTCGGGCGGAAGCGTCGCATGTCGCATGCCGGGAGGGAAATGAACGTGCGCGGAATCGAAAGCTTTCCCTTACACGATCGCTCTCGAGAAGGCCCGAAAGAATCGGCTCGAGGAGTCCCCGCGTGTGTCACATACTAGAGCTCGACATTAAAATGTCCCTGGGCTTCGCTTCTAAATTGGGTATAGAGGTTGATGTGTTCCACTCTCGTCCTCCTCATCCCCAATCCCGCCGTCACCCCTCCCACATTTCCCCAGCCGGAGCGTTTCTACGCGCTGCTCGCTCCGAGAGCGAAGAGACGACTCGCGAGATTTTTTAGGTTTCGGAGGTTCTATAATTGCGACTTTGAGCGGACGTTTTCTCGAGCTCTCTGAAATGACTTGGAACTCCCAGGCTATCTCAATTGTTCTCAATCTCCGAGAGGCCGAAGAATCGGCCTCATTTCAGGCTCATAGGAAGCCTCGTGACACTCTTCGCGAGTTCGTTGTGGCCCCATCGGATATTCGATGCTCGAAATGCGTGGGTAAATAAATCCTTTAATCGATATTCGATGCGGAGTCGGATCGAAAGCATCCAGTACTGGGGGCGGTAAACGAGCACCAGTTCTCCGCCGTGGATCTCCGTACCTCTATTGCGGCCCACCACTTTATACCTCTGGCGAGCGTGAGAGAGAACAAAAAAAAACTTTCTTCTTCCGTTCAGCATATCTTTGTCAATACATCTTTATATCCCGTGCCACGCTCTTTTGAACTCGTCGGAGATTGAGATTCTGCACAATGTAGGCATGACAATATATTACACGATTTCTGGCTTTCCGCTAGCCTAAGAGATCCGAGCTTTGAACTCTCTCATCTTTTGAGCATATCACAGATTATTATCGGCCGTATCCGTAGCCTCCTCCCTGTCCGAACTGGTTGCCACCCTGAGCGTATTGGCCCTTGTTGAACTGGTTTCCGTAGGCGTTTTGACCGGCAGCGGATGAAACTCCAGAGTTCTGAGCCTGGCCGAAAGCGGTCGAGGAACCGAAGCTTTCTCGGTTCCCGTAGACGTTCGAGGATGATCCACCTTTGTTATAGCCGAAAGCTCCCTGGTTTTGGTACCCTCCTGGAAAAGAGTAGGATATGCCTTTTTAGAAATTTCAAGCTCAAGAGTTGATCACGGAGACCGACTGCAGCAAGTTCCAAGTCGCTCCTCTTCTTCCGAGGACGCTCTGCAGCAACGTATCCACAGCGAACGAGATTCCATTTGATTGATGAGTGGATCGATACATGGTCTGCACTCGAAAGCTCCATTGAGGACTGGCGCATTAATCATTTCCGAGTCAGACAACGAGCTTCCTGTTCTACCTGAGTCAGTTAGGCATTCTGAACTCGGCGTCTGAATGGAGACGAAACGAAGGAGCGAACGAAAAATGACTTACCCGCTGCACCGGAACCTTGGTTGAAATGGCCTCCGGCGTGACCACCGCCGAAGCCTCCTCCGTAGCCCCCTCCGTAGCCCCCTCCCAAGCCGATTCCGGGTCCTCCGAAACCTCCGCCGTACAGGCCTCTTTCTTCCACTCCGTCTTTCTTATTTTCCCCATCGGTGGCCGCCGAATCCGAGGCAGACGCTGCGGCAGCTTCCTCCCCAGTAGGAGCTGCGGCGACGGCCATAAAACACACAGCAGCGAGCACCACCTGCAATTTCGTGTAAAAACAAACACCGCTGTTATAAAGTAACCAGAACAGAAGAGAGACAGCCTCTGGCGGATTCGAGTCGAATGTTGATCGAATTCTTTTCCTGGAGGAATAGTCGACGCTCGGACCATCATCCGACTCCAGTCATAGCGCGGGACACGCGAGGAGCAGAGGATAGCTTCGCGCTCGCGTCCGCTTCTTCCTTCGGCTGCTCTCTCGATGTTCGCTCGGTTCGGAGCCAAGGCCCCCGAAAGGGCCTGCCGAGGTCGGAATCGACAGGCTTAGCCAGAAACAGGGCAGGTCGCAACGGATATCGATACTCACGAAAGCTTTCATGTCTGCAGTTTTTCAAAACGGTCCGGGAACGATCGGAACAACAATGTGTAACGTTCGGTCGAGCGTTGGGGCTCTTATATGAGAGCGTCGTCGTCCACGAAACTCCTTGCCCTCGCTCCGTCGTCGATGGAAGAAACGGAGCGGATGCACTTTCGAGACGAAGACTTCCAAGCGACCAGTTGATCCGGTCGGCCGGCAATGTTTCCCCTTCGAGCGTTTGACAATGTTCGGCGCTCGCTGGCTCGATATCAGGAAACCCGATGACGGTATGTGATGCCATCATTGCGATTGGTGACAAGAACATACGGCATCCAGTATAGAGACGATGGTGGCTGCAGCGCAGGCAGCATGCGGATATTCGACACTAGGAACAGCAAGCGAACACGACCTACAGAAAACATCTCTCGAGGAATCCCCACTTTCAGCGACCGACTAGTCGGTCGGTCGGTCGGTCCGACTGTCCGTCCACGTCATCATGACAAGCGACTGACCAGAAGATTTTGCGATGATACCTCGGCGGGTCCCGGAGGATCGCTTATCTCATTCTGTAATCAGTCTTCGGGCAAGCCCCGCTTTTCTGTCGGTTCGGGCGAGGAAGAATATTCCAAGCCGTGGCGATTGATGGTAAAAGTAGAATTAATGAGTCCGCGGCGACGCAGAGGGTGAAACCAATAAATTCATGGAACATATCGACGGGGCGCCGAGGGGTAGACGGGGGGAACTGTAGGCGGACCGAGAGAATGCATCATTGCTTCAGTTGGAGATTCTTCATTTCTTCTCATGAATGCCGCTTGGAGGAGGAATAAATGGACGAGGAAAAAACGCGACGACACTTAGAAAGAGTCTCCGAATAGAGCGAGTGTTAATTACGGACGCTGGTCGCGTGCGATTTTCACTCACATCAGTCGCGAGTTTGATAGACGACGAGCGAATCCCCAGCGAGAGCATGCGCAGATTCGCTCGCCCACCAAAATGGGATGTTTTCGCCGATCCGCAGAGGAACCGGTATCTCGAACGTGTAAGCCAGATAGAAAGAATGACTGATCGAGAAGTAATTACCAAACAGCAGCCAATTGATGAATTAATTCGATGCTTGTTTTCGCAGAGAGGAGCCCTCCCACATTCGAGGAGCTGACGATGTCTTTAGGCGTCTCATCCCACCGATTCACGGAATACAGCGTCACCAGTGTCATCCGGTGGCATGCCTGAGCGGAGTTTGAGCCGAATATTCATCGGAGCTCTGACATTCTCATGATTGTTAGCCCGCGCGGCGAACAATGCCCATTTTCTGGATCATTTTTCTCAGAAATCGTCGGACGTCATCATTTCGCGCTTCTGGAAGTTCAATGGTACATATCGTCATTAAAAGGAAGAGTCGACTTGACTATCGGGGGCACAGCGAGGCGCCGTCACGCAATATCGTTCCTCGAAACCCTCATGGGCATCATTGAGTGAATGCTTCGGGAGTTCGGTTCTCTGAAACGCGAGGCGGCTCCCCAACCGATCCCATCACCGGAACAACTCTCTGATAGCTTGACTTAGCAGGCTCTCCGGACCAGCGACGGATCTGGAATTTGTTCTCAGGTATCGGTCAACTCAATTTGGGGAAGGGGCGCGTTCCTCTCCGACGTGGGAATTCTGAGGTCAGCAGATTGTGTCGATCGGGGAGGGAAGTTTGATCCAGAAATTCAATGGACTGCGGCTGAAGGATATACGAAATCACTCGATGAGCTGGTTCAGATCCAGGTTTGAATTCGGGCCCGGACTTCAAGCCCTAAACTCCCCTCAGGCTCACGATTCCAAAACTACACACGTCAACGAGAGCGGCTGTTCTGGCCAACCTCGAACACTGATTACAATGGATCGCGTACGTGCACTGATTACGTCTGACGGCTGTGGCCTTGTTCATTTTCGACTAACGAGAGATAACTAGAGCATTCGGGCGCTCTCCGTGCCATACCTTCATATAAATATGTATGTTGTTCTATACATCCATTGCATTGACGTGTCCTGAAAATGAATTTAGGGATGTACGACCCGCCCCGGTTCCTTTTCGTCAGTTATCGCTGCATGAAAGATCTTCCGGGTCGAAAATCAGAGCGATGCGGACAGCTATGGGCCAGATCTGCGAGTACTCAACCCGTGGGCCAACGGCAAGCGTCCGAATCAGAAAAACGCAGCTCATTTAGCTGCACAGCGATTCAGTATTCTACGATATGCCTATCGAAGCATGGTAACTTTTCGCTCGCTCGATGGCCAGCTCGGATTCCATCGGCTAGTAGATCAGGTCCAAAACCAGCCGCGGAGTAGCTATGTTCTGATATCCGTTCGGATGGGTCCAGCTGCCGTACCTCGAGAATCGTGCCGGGCACGCTCGACCGATCTCGTAGAGCGCCCCACCCATTACTGTTGTGAACTCTCGAGTCGTCGGCCGGCTCGCCACCCTGAACCATCGCTGTGGCTGCCGAGTACACGATGCATAGAACCTGGACGTCCAGTCTAGGAAACAAGGCGAGAAAAATACCCCATCCAAGGAGAAGACCCTGAGGGAACGCTGCTGGACCGATTCGCCGTCCCGCCGCCAACTGACCGAGAAGAGGTCGGCGATGCCGCGACTGCGGCTTGGCACAGGCGCTCCATCCCGAAGATTTACGTTTCTAGTCTTCGTGGTCGCGTCCCAGAAAATATACGAAACTCGTCCCGCATCGGAGGGACGAGAAGCCAGCGGTATCTTGAGCAGTTCAGGAATAATGAAAGCCAAATTATTCATACGCGATTCAACGACCAAACTCAAACTTGATGAAACGCCACAAGGTACGGCGTACTGTCGTAGGCGTACATTGTGAATATTTTACGTCGGTTTCTACGCATGAGCAGCACTTGCGGCGATGTATTCAGCTCGCGATGGGTTCGCCCTCGACGAAACGCTCCAATCTATGGGCACAGATCATGGTACGGAATCGTTCTGAGTCTGCCCCGAGGTCGTCGAGGCTATCCTGGCTGAGGGGGAGAAGAAATTTATCATCAAACGAGCGGTAACTTTTCGCGGAGTGCCCATCTGATCAAGGGATACCGCGGGTTCGGGCATCGAGAGAAGAAGAGGGAGGCGCGCCGCAATTCCTCCTTCGAGATCATGCTGAAGCTAATGTTGGGGAGTCGGCACAATAAAAATACTCTCGTCTCTGAGAATAAATATTTTCTGTCGGAGGAACTTTATTAAGTGAACGAGTCTTGTGAGCCTTCTAACGACCAAAACCGATTCCTTGTCCGTATTGGTTGCCACCTTGCGCGAATTGCCCTCCACTGAATTGATTGCCGTAGGAACTTTGACCCTGCGAGGCCTGTTGGCCTAACGCCTGGTTCAGGCCGAATTGGGTCGACTCTCCGTACGTTTCCCTATTTCCGTAAACGTTCGATGAGGACGACCCTCTGTTGTATCCGAAGGCGCCCTGATTTTGGAATTGACCTGCACATGGGACAAAATCGCTCTTTAGAAACTTTCCCTACCGACAGGGCTAAAATCCAGTATAAAGCGATCTTCTCGATCGCTCTCCAAACGGAACGTCATCACAAACCGGAAGCTCCTGATCCCTGATTGAAGCCGTGTTGGTAATGACCGCCGCCATAGCCGCCCCCGTGGCCAGCGCCGTATCCCCCGCCGAGTCCAGCGCCGTATCCTCCGCCGAGTCCACCGCCGTATCCACTGCCGTATCCCCCACCGTATCCACCGCCGTATCCCCCACCGTATCCACCAACACCACCGTAGCCTCCGAATCCTCCGGGACGTCCGAATCCGGGCCTTCCGAATCCGCCGGGACGTCCGAATCCGGGCCTTCCGAATCCGAAAGTCCTTTCTTCAATGCCTTCTCCGTCACCTCCTTTCGTTGAGACGTCTGTGGCCGTATCTGAAGAGGCTTTTTCAGAGGCAGCAGCTGCTGAAGTTAATTCACTCTGCGACGCAGGTGCTCCATTCGTCACCACCAAGCATAAGGCCACCGTGACTATCTGGGGATGCGTTACACTGAAGTGAGACCGGATCCTTCTCCGTGCCGTTCATTCGACAGACTTTGAGAGGAGCGTACTTACAAAACTCCTCATGATTTCGCTGCACTCGTTTTACGACTTCGTCGTGCACGGAGATGCATCATTTATAGCATTTCTCTCTTTTCGCTTCCCTCTCTTCGGAAGATTCTTCCAAAACCGACACGAGGCCGTTCCTTTCCAGCGGCACCGCTCGTTTGGTGCGCAAGGGGACGAATGGATTTTTCTGATCGCGATCCTGCTGATCGGCTTTGTATTTATCATTGGTGTCATTCTAAGTCATCGAACTCGACTGCGGGTGTTCTCCGCGCGGCCACGGTAGAGCTTTTTTGCGTCGTTCGCACAGAAGAACTGTGGCCAGTCAAATTACTGTCCGCGATGACTGCATCCGCCATGCACGGTATCACGTCGACCTCGATGGTATGCAGGGGGCTGGCGAACGTACAACATCAATAGGGGGATCGTCACGACCCAGCAACCCGGGAATTGAGCGGGAAAAGCTCCTTTTAGTCCAAGAGGTGTTCAGGAAGTTTCATCGTAATGAGTTCACGGAGTGGAATCACCGAGGGAGAGCGTCGCTCCTCTCGCTGAATCGTCTGTTCAGCAGACGAAGAACTGCACGAGCTAACAGCTCAGCCATCTCGCTCGCGGAACCCTCTCGATCCAGTGAGGCTCGCGTGTTTGAAATGATCTCAGAATCATCCCATGACTATCCGAGAGAGATTCTCGAGCTCTGGACTCAGTCTGGAGAAAAAATTTTGAAAGATGAGCTAAAAGTTTCTCGAACCTCCCGCATGCTATCGTGACAGCGCAGGAACCTGGGTTCGCCCGCTTCTTCCCCCCGGGTTCCCCCTTCGCCCAGCCGGCCCGAATATTTGGAAGGAAGACAAATAGATGGATAGATTCAAGGTGAATAGATCACTCTGAGCTTGTGATCACATGTGCTAGAGACTTCGAAACTTGAAAAAGATAATTTATTCAATGTATATCAGCACCATTGATCTGTAGTGAAGAAAAGTCTCACTTTTACAACACTGATTCGTCGTCATGAATCGAGGGCCCCCCGGTCTGTGTAGCCAATGTCGATCGGTGTGTTCCGAATTCAATATTCGTATGCACACTCAGGCTCTGCTCGGAATTAACGAAATTTTGCAATTTTCAGCGAAGTGGCATGCACCAGTTATATTTACAGATCGTATCTACAGATTACCGGCTATACGGATAACAATTGTGATCCCGCCGTAGATTTCTAGCTTTCGTGACGTATTTCCGTGATCTGAGCGTCGGAGTCTGCCGGCCTTCGTAGTCCTGGGCTGTGCACAATATTTATTGATCCGAACACTTTGACCACAACGGCAGTTACCGCATCTGTGATGGAGGAATCTTCCCCGCCACAGTTCTGCCACTCGAGATCTCAAAAACAGGCCGACACAACAAGTCATGCGATTTAAGGCCCCTGTACCAAGCGCTCAGGCCACAATGCCAACAAAGCGCTCTTGAACTTCAACTCTGTATACTCTCCTCTTGCTCGCAGGCGCTTGTAGCTTTAGACTGAAGGTCTAGATCCCACTGTCTATTGGTGGACGATGTACGGATCGGAGAATTGTCGCTTAACTTCATCTACTCCGACGCTACTCTACATCAATATGTATATACGTATGTATGTAGTCGGGAGCAACCGACCGATTTTTACGATATGTAAAAATGTGTAACTTACAACTCACGAAGAAACTCGTATTCTGGCGCGAAATTTCATGTAAAATGATTGGGCCTTAGGGGAAGTTGGCATGAGTTATTCTGAACTCGGAATCTGGCAAGGATTGGGACTTTCGTTCACGGATTCGCTTCCATGATTTGATGGCGGTGATGAGCACCGGAAGCGGAGTATTGGAAGGTCAAGGCTATTCGGCCTCGTTTGCGAGCGAAATCCTACCAAACTGTATCGTCATGGACTGGTTTTCCGTGGACGCGGAATCTATACAAACAGGTGTAGTGTATATTCCCGTGATTGGTGAGGATCTTTAGCTCAACAAACTCGAAAGTTCTCTCCGTTTGATGTTGCACCTTGAAGTTCTGCAAGGGCTCTCCAGTAATCGAGTAATTATATCGTCCCAGTAAGAAGCCCGCCTTGTCCTCCGCACTGTCCATACCGTAGACCTGTGAATGGAAGAGGCGTTCCATGAACGTCATCGATGCTGTGCCATTAGGAAGGAGAAAAATTGCTACGCTCATCCACATACCTCGAAATCGTTCGGCGCGGAGTCGATATTGCCGTTGAGCGCAAGAGACGCAGGAATATGCTCGAGGGTGAAGGCTTCGACATGGATCCGCCGCGACAATTGTAGCACTGCGAACAGTAAAGTCAATGAGATCATCCATTGGACTTCGGTGAGGACATGACCGAGCCTCGTGGCGGGGTCGTGTCTGATTAATTATTATTCACTACGTTTCTCTCTCTCTCTCGTGAATGTTCATCCACGTCGGAATCATCGTTGACTGGGGATCTATTTTCGGCTTATACTGAAATCTGAGTGCGGGACGAACGAGCAACAATGATCGTCCCTCGAGTTCGCTTCACGTCGACGCCGCATAGGTCAAGGCTGGATGAAGCAGGAAATTCCTACACGAGCAGAGTGCCCTTTCATTTCCGACCGAGGAAACATTCAATCCGAACGAGAGCAATGACCTCTTTTTCATGCGTCGGAGATCTCACGCACGGCACGAGGAAGCTCCGGCAGGGGCGGGCGGATAATCTCTCAAAATCCGCAATCGTCACAGACCCCCACCACATATTGTTTAACCCTCCGAGCTCATTTTGCATGCGAGTCATCTACGATCAGAACATCCGTTGCGTCGCTTGAAACGCCACAACAGGAACCGGCAAGCGCCATCTGTCCCGCAGCGGAAACCCGCGATACGGAATACTGAGGAAATGAAAAAAATGTTCCCTCACCGAGATAACCTACGCTGCCTACGAACGGCCAGCATTCTCCGACCGCCAGCGTCGGCTGGATGGCCAGACGGGGCGAAGGTCTCTTCCAAAATAGCGGCACGACTCCGAAAAGATAATAACGGCCCATGTGCGTCGTGTAGGTCTCCGAGCAGCGCGTGGAGAGAACAGAACCCCCTGGAAAACGAAATGGAATGATAAACTCAGGAGATCGGCGGAGGTTCCGAAACAAATGAACTTTTTCCTCGTTCTGTGTCCCACCTGCACTCTCGAGCGCGTAATCAGCCATTCCCGTTTTGTCGGCATCGTACAATTTCAGGGCCTGGTGAATCGCTTCCTGCAGCTGTGAGTCTTCAAATGAGATTTTCTTGCAGTCGCATTTCTGAATTTCGGCGTGTAGATGATCGATTCGTTTCGACAGATGTGATAACTGCTGCAGGAACCAGTCTCTATTGTCTGGGCACTGGAGGCATGGCGAAGGCACAGCGGTGTTTCTGAGGTAATGACGATGATTTGATTGAGTCGACATAGAGCACGTCTTCCTCCTGCCCTGCGCATACCGTCGAGGCGGCCTCTACCATTCTGATCTCAGAGATGTGAACTCGAAACCCTTTTTCCATTGTGAATGACCAACCTATTTCCTCCGTCTGGTCCACGGAGCTCCGGCGGAGGGGTCTGTGTTCGGTCGCTTGGTTGGCCATGTCCAGTCGTCATCGAAAAAGAGCTCATGTTCGCCATCTGTCCGCACGTGACAATGAGGTAAAGCAACGTGCCCAGTAATAACGACAACGTCGCGATGGCCACCGGGGTGCGAGCTCTACGACGTGACAGGAGCAAGACGTCGAGGGTGAATAGCCACGCATGAGCCAAGTACAAGATACGAAACGGTAAACTGGAAAATACGTCACTCATGAGACACTACTGCAACTTTCTCGCACGTCCGATATCGGCGCGGCATGTCCGCCGAGATGATCGTCAAGTCAAAGAATGACGTCTGGATATGAAGCATGAAAGAAAGGCAAGGTGACAAAAGCCGATTATTCAATCCAAACGGGTTCCCTAATCAGAGTTTCGGAGAAACGAGATCCCGAACACGAGCATTCGCACTCTCAGTTCGCTTCCGTTACAAGGATCGATTCTGAATTGGCGTCTCCGTGAAGACACAATTTTTTTGTCTCGAGAACTCCGCCTGGACACCGGACTCTGTACGGCTGAGGGAAACTGCTCACCTAACAGACGTATAGGCCATGATTTGCGCTCTATTGGAAGGCGGCACTCAGGAATAACTCATCGAGCGGGAGATCCAGAACATTAATGTAAGAGAACTGTCTCGTTCGATAGAAAAACGCAGGACGACATGGTGACGCTAAGATTCGGTTCCGGCGCTTTCTGTCTGTCTCTAAAAGAGCAGATATTTCTCTGTATACAAACAACATGCTACGACGGGGTGGAGTCAAGTCCATATCCATTTAAGCCAACGACCAACGACTCGCGTTCGTGAAGGGCGACTCCGATTCGAGCTACTTTGGAAATCGTATCGACATCGAATTTCGATGATTACGTCTGCTCCGATTGTATTCATCCGACAAATGTCCTGCTTTGCCAGGGGGGTTCGTCCCACCATCGCGGAAAACACTGCGAAAAAACGCGCTAGACGGTAATGGACAACGCACGAGGAGGAGGGTCCTCATCTACCGTCGGAATATAACCGGTGCGCGTGTGGCGAAATTGTAAACATTGAGGACTGGGTAAGAATTTATGAGAAAAACATCGGATCCGAGCTCTTATTCGGAGTATTCGAACATTGTTCTGAAAGTCGAATGACAGAGCTAGTACACGAGGCTCAGAAATGCCAGAGTATGTGGTCCGCAAAGTCGTGATGCTGACTTCGTCCAGCGCGGTGAAAGCCATCCGAGGACTCGCGGATGAGAATAATATTCTCGCGATCCAAGACGACTTCATAACCTTACTCGAGGATGATATCGTTCTGAGCCGACTTGCTCTTGCAACCGAACCCCCATACTGCGTCCTCAAGAACACATTGGCAGCACTATCGAAGCGGAGGCTGACTTTCGTGGCGGCGGAGGGTAACCGACTCCGGAGGCGAGCATCGAATTTCGCGAGAGAAATCGCACTCATGTGCAGCAGCTCGGAATATTTCTTTTCTGTTTGCGACCGCACATTGTATCAGCATGATCTCAACGACAGATTCTCGACCCTCAAAACATATGGTGAACCGATCAGAGCCGTATGCGCGACCGAAACGAAACTTTTGGTCATGCTCTCATCGAGTCTACGTCTCATCGACTTGAAGACGCATCAGGACCTGCTCGAGGCCTCTTGTGACGTCGCGAAGCCCATGAATATCTTCTGGAGTGTCTCGGCTGAAGAATCCCTATGGTTTTTGGCGGTAGTCAAACCGCAAGATATGGACGATAACCGAACGCACAAGGTTCTCATGGCGGAAGTCAACGAGCAGCATATCACTTCAGAGGACGTTTCTCCCGATGACGTATCGCTGGAGCGAAAATTGCTCTGCTTCGGAGCATGTGACAAGATGCTCACTTTGGCCGACAACGGCAACGTGATCTTGATTCACCGAGTCGACAATTTTGGAAAGCTCGAACTTCTGTATCGGGGCGAAGCGACAGACATGCCCTTCACGACTGGCGGAATCATCCGAGCTCCCAAAGGTCCGTCTGCCCCGAAAATAGTCCTCGGGACTTCCAACGGAGCTCTCGCCCTTTTGGACGGAGCGTGAAGGAAGGAAAACTGTTGGGAGCGACTCCAAGGATCGGTAGTGCTGATTATAGTTATGGACTTCGTTTGTGTATCAATATTGAGGGACATCTCCCGTCGAGACATGTTGAAATAAATGTGTGCATTCTGAAGAAGATCTAATATACTCTTTCGAATTCTCTCCCGCTGACTCTCTCGCCTAGGATTTCTCATCCATCTCCTTCGTTCGATACATCATTCAAAGTTGCGATCATCTTGCAGGCGCGATGTTGTGGAGATCATTCTACTTCTGCGTCCGGAATAAACAGCTGATTGGCGTCGTGCGGAGCAAGAGTACTACTTCGAAGCCCAAGGCTTCCGAGAGAAAAGTCAACCTGAATGTTGGCACGATCGGGCACGTGGATCATGGAAAAACGTCGCTCACCGCCGCTATCACAAAATATCTATCTCAAAAAAGTACAGGGACGAAATATGTCTCTTACGACAGTATCGACAATGCTGAATTAGAACGTATAAGAGGTAAAACCCTTGTCCACCTATCACCATGGCCTACGGGATCATTCAGAATTGCATGAGAGGGTTGGAGTATGACGACGCACACTCCACGTCGCACAACTCGCATATCGTATTCCGATCGCTTCGGGTATTTATTCATGTACGATACGATGTGTCTCGCACCCGCTCTTGTCGCTACTGTGATTGAAGTATGTCACGAGGCTACGATGGGATTCCCCCGCAGGTATCACGATAAACGCTTCACACGTCTCTTATGAGACGGAAACCCGCCATTACTCACATACGGATTGTCCAGGGCACGCTGATTTCATAAAGAACATGATCTGTGGTACAGCGCAAATGGATGGAGCAGTCCTCGTTGTGGCCGCCGACGACGGCTGTATGCCTCAAACCAACGAGCACCTTCTGGTGTGCAAGCAGGTAATGAGATGGGGCGGAGGCAGATTCATGAAAATTCTGAATCGAAATCCGAGCTGAAACTGCAGAGGGCAATTTAATCCGGTCAGTTGGGAGTAGACAGGATCATACCATTCATCAACAAAGCTGACATATCGGACCGGGATACAATCGAACTCATTGAGCTGGAAATCCGGGATCTCATGGAGTCTCTGAAATTCCCGAACGCCGATACCTGCCCCGTGATATACGGTTCCGCCAAAGCCGCTCTGGAGGGCGATCAAGGCGAATTCGGTGAGAACCATATCGAGCCACTGATTTTTACTAGCCCGAATCAATTCGTGATTCTTCTAGAAGCAGTTGGATATTCTTGTGGATCCATTACAGGAGAACCATCGCTCCAGAGGTTATTGGACGCCATGGACGCTCATTTCCAATTGCCTCTCCGAGACACTACCTCTCCTCTACTCGCCCCTGTCGACGGTGTTGTCAGCGTCAAGAATCGTGGCACGGTGATCATAACGACCATTGAGAAGGGTACAGTGAAAAAAAACGACAAACTAGAACTCCTGGGCTTCGATGCGCGAGAATCGACCTCTGTTGCAGACATACAGGCCTTTGGAGAGGGCACCGCAACAGCACAAGCAGGGGATCATGTCGGGTCAGTGGTCTTAAGAGTGAGCGCCCGCAACGGCTTACCCCCATCCGGGAACCGATCAGTGTTCATTGAAAATCGTTCTCAGAGAGAGACTATTCCAGGATTTTATGCCGTGGCTTGAAAGCGGCTCTGGTCAAACGAGGCATGACCCTCGTGGCACCGGGGGCCTATAAAACGCACAACCGATTCTCCGCCCAATTGTACCTTCTGAGCAAAGAAGAAGGGGGTCACAAAAACCCCATATCTCAAAAGTTCATTATGCGCTTCTTCGCGAAATCATGGAATGTGATGTCACGCGTTGACGTCAAAGATGGTGCGATGCTCATGCCCGGTAGGTGGTTTGGTAAAAGTGATCCATATATTTCTTTTAATATCATAATTATTATCATCATTCTGCGGAAGAGCCCGCATTAACGTCCCAGCCGCTCTACTCGTCATTTCCCCCCGGTCTTGGTCGAATCCTGATCGTGTTTTCTGGACCCCTCCGATCGGCAAACCCGCTCATTAGGTCCTTTCCGCCCGATCCGGATGGTGGCCGATTACGCGGGCTCCTTTCTCTTCCGGAAATGGGAAAAGGCGACCCCTTCACTTTCATAGAACGGATAAACATAAGGCTCTCGTTCGTGAACAGGTGATGCCGGAGAAGTCGTCATCACTTTGGCGAAGAAAATGCTCTTAGGTGAAGGTCAGAGCTTTACGATCAAGGAGAATAACGTCACATTAGCCAGTGGTAAAATCACTGGAATTCTTCCCGATGTTTTTCTTTCGTCATCTGAGCTCGGAAAGAATCGACTGTAATCATGCGGTAGATGGATAGGCCAATGTTCGAATAAATCAGGATAATAATCGGTCATCGTGCCCTGAAATGGATTCCATCCGCTATTCCCTTCATCTAGAGCAGCGTTCCGGGAACGCTCAGGGTTCCGAGAATTCCCTACCGACCTGATTTCAAGTTTCAGAAAGCTCACCAAGCTCATTGCTACTGTACTCCAAGCTTATAATCATTGTACAATTGAAGGATGAAGCCGTATGTATGGATAAAACGGCACTGTGCCATGTCTCGGTCGAAATTCTATACTCTCAGATATTCGATTACCCTCGGGGGAAACGCGAGAGCTCCCCAAGAGCCAGACGGGAGACGTAGGGGAAAAAAGTTTGAGAATCGCTGATCTAGAGCAGAGGTTCCCAAACTGGGTTCCGCGGAACCCTTGGGAATCCGTCGCTCATTTCCGGGGGTTCCGTGAAAAAATCACTGCGGAACCCCAGTGTTCCGTGGGCTGCTCTTTGCGCAACTCGGGGTTCCGCGACGAGGTTTTGCTTCCATATGTACCGTCATATACGGGCCCTATGTGTCGTAGCCCTGTGGGGAACTTCTTTTCCTGATTCCAAATTTCGTCCTCAATCCCGAAGGGGATCGTTCTAATTGGCGCATCGATCGGCAACGAATGCACACCGCGACGATCGTTGCACAAGGCACGTTCCCACTAGATGAGCATTCCTAAACGCAAGAATTGACTAAAGCAATAAACATTCAAGTCTGGTCCGGAACAAACGAGTGGTTTTCCCTCTAATAGCTGAAAGGAAAGAGCAATTGACAGGACTTTGAATTTTTTGAAAAATGAGGAAGGGTTCCACGGCACACTAGGGGTTCCGCGAAGGGTTCCGCGGAAGAAAAAGTTTGGGAACCTCTGATCTACAGAACTAGTGCTCAAGAGCGTTGCAGAGGTGCTACCCAGATAAGCGAAATCGACAAGTTTTCGAATTGAAAGATTCAGATCCTGAGAATCGGGCCATTGGATACAGAACCTTGGACGCGATTCTCCGCAAAGCGCTTCATTGAAGGAAACATTGTCTCCCACGGAAGCGGAGGCAAGGTGGAAGTTCTCAGCAGCCGACCAGAAGCTCTGCGAGATAACGGAAGGAGAGTACGCCCATTATCAGTCAAATACTCCAGGAAAGCAACGAATGCGCTAGATGTCCTCGACGCTGATAAATTGTTCAATATGGTCACGCTTCGGTCCGGAGCTTATCGTATTCGATTCCCAGATAGGCTCGATCACACAAAGCTCTCCTTCCCCGTTGACTTCATACCGTATTCTCTCTAATGGGGGGCAGCCCCAGCTCTAACACTGATGCCCCGACAAATCTGTCCACAGTGAGCTCACGCAACGGTCCGTCGGTCATTCCTGAGCCAGATGACGGAACTGCACAACGCGAGCTGAGCGGTTGCGCTACCTCTCTCGAAGAAGATTCGCCGTAGCATCTCGGACTCCAGAGTGTCCCAGTGTTAGAGACAATACGGTATATCTAATAAGTAGCAATGTACATGGTGGGCACCAGGGGCCATGGCCCTCTCCACTATTCTCTGGTATGAATGCTAAAGTATAGACTTTGAGGAGGCGCGTCATCATTCGAAATCTCGCGCCCGGAAAGTCGTATGGATACGCCTGCGTATAACTCGTATACCTTCCGTATACTCTCAATCATCATTGAACTCCATTATTGAGGCTCAGACCCGTGTGACCACTTCGATTCACAGTTTCGTTTTTCGAACAATATCTAGGATTGTTGGACATGCAAGAGTCGTCTGATCTTGAACTCGCGTTCACCTCGGACGGATGCTCGAATGACCGCAAGTTTCAATTGATCGGCATGTTCGTCTCCGGCGGAGATGAGTATCGTGGTGCGCTCGGGGACAGCCTGGCATTGTGGGGATGCTCTGGTCCAATTGTAGAGGAAGCTCCGAATGCCAAAGCAGAGACGAATATCTTAATTAGGCCATGTCTCCAAGATACTCTGATCGATGTGCCTACCCAATGAATCTCACGCTGGTCACATGTAGCAATAATAATAATCCAAATGGATGACTGCAGGCGAATGCCCCACCCGAATTTGAGGGAGGGACACGCAATGAGCGTGAGGGGCGTGATGACTCCGTGGCATATACGTGGATGACTCCGTATACGCTTGATTCAATCCGGAGAGCCTAGACCGACATCAGCTGAGAGCTATTCTATCCTTGTATCGGCCTGGAGAGGGTTCAGGCTGAAAGTTTCAGAGTCGAAAGAGACGATCTGCGGAAGAGGGGTTCCTGACGGGACGATGTCGCTTTTCAGAACCAAAGAGACGAAACTTTCCCACTATACGCCTCGGAAAGAGTTTATCTATCACGATCCTCCCGTAGGTCAAGCGAGCAGGATAATCACTCTCTGTTGATCCCGGGTCGGATGTCTATAGCTTCCACGAAGAATTCCTTTGGATGATCTGCAACACCCTCCCAAACGTGAAGTTATTTCTAGCGAATATGTCACTCTGATGTTGACTCTCGCCGTAACTTGGTGTCTGATAAACAGGCCCTTCTGAACTCCCGCAGAAAGGTCGTCTGGAAGAGCGAGGAAATACTTGAATGAGTCGAAAGGGGGCTTCGATGTTGCTGCGTTGGAATAAGCCGCGCACGCGCGGTAGAGACAATCCTGCCTGCGCAGCTGCTACTGCCGATGTTCGCGGTGATGGCGATGGAAATGGCGATGGATGTGGAAGGGACAAGAAACGGATCATATCAGCGGACACGTACTGGTGCCAACAACCAACGTTCCAGAGATCGCAGCGGCTACGGCAACTGCGAGAGACGACGGCGACGCTTTATCCACCATAATAACAAATCCTCTCCAGGACCAACAGGTGAATTGTGTGAACGGTGGGACGAGCCTAGGGTTGGTAGGAAGTCGCCGGCTCCACGATTTGTGTCTCTGCACGCCCAACATTCTCAATCGAGCGGTGAGTTTTGTAGCCATCTCGAGACATCGTCTTCGACCGCATGACTGCGTCCTTAGATTAGGCGATCGGGATTCATCCAACGGCTCTTCGATACCGCGAGCTGTTATCTCATCGTACGGAACCCGACACCGAGTGGACCAGATGACCGCGGTTAGAGGAGCTCCTTTGCATGCTCCTCTCCGGAGCGGATCTCTTTTGACTTGAGAAGATCGGATGAACGGTGTTCGATGATCCATATCTAGAGATCTCTGAAGCATCTTTCCCGAGTTTGATTCCCCTGTTCGTCGTCGCTTTTACGTTATTACGTTAACGATTCGGATTTCCTCGTTCCCATCTAATTTGTGGGTTATTCACGCAGAAGGAGTGCGCATAACTCCCAGTTCCCGTCGGAGTGCAGGTCTTTCTCCGGGTTGGTATCCAGTCTCTGTGCCTGAGAGAGACCAGCGTGACAAGCCATAACATCGTCACATGGAGAATTAGAGGCAGGGACCTCGTCGCGAACTGTCTGTAAACACGGGATTCAGTCAGCGTGTGTGTGTGACATACGAATGCGGCGAGCGCCTGCAATGACATCATAGAGCGGCGAGTCCCGCTGGCCGCTGTCGGAGAGAGCGGGCGTTTGTTCAACCTTGACTGTTGATCGGCAACGATTGCAGGGATTGTTTACGTTTTGATGAGCGAAAGCCGCGATTCAGGAGCATCTGTTATTCTTTTCTGTCTGGGTGGAGGTCCTGGGGAAGTAGCATATCGAAATCAGTCGGCTCGAGGAGTTCATCTTCAAGAACCATTTGAAGATCCTCTTGCTGAATCGGGTTGCGGTCTCTTCGGAAGTGAGATCTCGGACTCATCCGAGGATGTTCGGCGTGGACTTTCAACGCGGGGCTCCGAGCACGAAAAATCGAGCGTAATGCGATGGCTCCGATCTCGAGTGCACATTCCCGCGAAACCGCAATCGTGGACTCCCGTCGTATCCGAGAGCTGGATCGTAGACGTTCGGCGCTTGATCTAGATCTCAGTTCAGAGCAGGACCCCAAGCACATCTAGAGACGACACTTGTCACGAGTCTGACCTGTACCATAATTATCGAGACCCTCATTCGTTCGAGAGGTCACAGTAGAAGAGTGGTATGATCATGAAATCGAGATCAGATCCTTAGATCAGAATTCATTTGACGGGCGACTGTCTGCGTCAGGAGGGGAATGTTTCCCTTCTAGAAAAACATGTGAAGCTCTCTCCTCCCTGTAGCCTATCGCATTGACTAATACCAATTAGATCGAATGGCTCAAGTATCTTGTGAATTTCAGAAAATCAAGCGATATGAGCGATTCGCCCGCAACATCTGAAATCGAGATACCCGGGAGCCAATGCAGGGCTGGGAGTCATTCAAGAGGACCCTCAACGCCACCGAATACTCCGCTATCCACCTCTCTGAACCCGAACCTCATTTCCAAATCCTGGTTCACGGAGCAATTCCATCGGTTAGTTGACGAACGGATTTACGGGAATCAATTTGCTAGACCCAGTTTTTCTACGGTATGGAATACGGTCTCGCAATATTGCATTAGGCCAAGCATTAGCGCGAGAGCGCTCGCCGAGTCATCGACTGCGTTCAGTGTCAATGAGAATATTATCAACTGTGGAATTCCAGGCAGATGATGATCCACACGAAGCCCGGTCTCGATGATACCAACGAGACTGCCCAATCGAGCGATAAGAGTGAGAGCGTGGATGGAACGACTTGAAGAGGGAAGAATCATCAAACAGTACTAGGATCTTCCAATTCCTCGCCTTGCAAAGTCGAACAGGCTCGATTGTCAGACTTGAAGACGCCGAACACAGATTCCGATCGAGCAATACGGAGATGAGCGTTAGAAAATTCTCTGGTTTCGCGCTGCTCCGATTCTCAGGAGCTCTGAGCTCCTATGAAGGGCTCAGGGCTCCCTTGAGGACTGAGATCGCTTTCAGTGTCCATTTGAAGATACATATGTAAATACGTTTCGCACGAACCTCGGGATGAAGATCGAAACTAATTCTCGTCTTGGGATAGGAAGCGGTTCTGTGCCAATGTTCAGGAGTCAGTGCTGTGGACGTCGAGGTTAGATGGAGGATTCAACGACATTCAGAGTCGCTCCTGATAGAAATATACATAAAACATAATATATGAGAAGGTATATTTTATCCGTCATAGAATTCACAATTATTTTGCATGTGCCATCATGATACATACCGGTTTCCGACAGAGGAGAGGCGCCAGTGAGAGACTGTCTCCGAGGAGGAATACATAAAGTCTCCTCCTACACATGTCTCCTCCGAGGCCGCAATCAAAAATGAATTCGACGATCTGGGATGGTTATCCCATAGCTCTCTGTAGTTCAAGCATTCGCGAGTTAGGCTGAGTTGGAGACAGTCTGATAACAGACCATGCTACGGCCTTGTCTGATGGTGATGGTTGATACAGACGGAATGAACTGGAATCTTGAATTTCGAATAGAGACCCGGGAGCTGGGAGCAGGTAGAAACCAATCTGCAGCCCGGTTTCGGTCACTGTCATATTCGGCTCGAAGACGCCTTTGTCCTGAGCTCTTCGGCACGATCGTCTCCTCCCGGGGATCCGACGCGAAGATTCATGACCACATTCACGCTGAATGAGTGGAACAGGTTGCGTGAATCGGAGAAATGAATTACCGGTGATCGTAACTTCGACGCAATAAAGCACTGGTGAATGTATCCGGACCCGTCGGCGAATGAGAGTTTTTCATCGATAAGATTTTTTTCAAACCGGAGCTAGACAGAGAGTCTTTGGTATTTCGAGTAAAATATGGCGGACGCCTCACGGGTCATGAGTGCTCCGACGGACGAGCGCAGTTCCGGACTCGAATCCTTAGGATTCTGATGGAAAATCGAAAGTTGTCTGGATCTTGGTGAAGAGCGATCAAAAGCAATGTGGAAAGCTCTAAACGCCAAAAAACGATCCTGGCACTCATCATCTCGAGTTCAAAGCTTCCCTCATCGATTCTCCGAAACGCACGCTACCACGAGGAACGAAGGAGAGCAGCCTGTCGTAGAGCCCGATCGAGAGCGTGACGATACACTCGGGACATCTTGCGCAGCAGGATTTCCGACGCTGCCACCCAAATCATGATCTCAAACAGGGAACTTATCACCCCAATTATCCATCTCATCTGCCTTGCTATATCAAGGAGTGCCGAAGGCGTGAAGGAGCCTCCGGTCGAAGATCCAGAACCTCTGAGTCCTGTTGAACGACGCTCCTCGCCTCTTAACCTCGAGACAAACTTCATCCTGGAGGGTTTCGGTGACTTCAGGCCCATCGAAATGGATTTTGAGATCGACATCAGCATCAACATGTCATGGAGCCTGAGGAAAGCGGTCTGTGAGTTATATGAGCAGGCGTTAATGCACGATGGGGTGAATACTAGCGCCGATGGGACGTTAGTTATTCCACCGAGGAGATTGACGAAAAACATCTACTGGCTCCCCGACCTTCTCCTGGTCGAGGCGAAGTCGGCAGAAATGTCGTCCGATATGATCTACACGATAAACGGTAAATTCAAAAGACGTCGAGATTGCTCTCAGAGCGAGATGATCGTTCTGTCTAAGCAGAAACTAGTTCTGGCCTGCCAGCTCGACCTCAGTAAGTTTCCCTTCGACATACACACCTGCCCTCTGACACTGCGGAGCTTCTCACACAACAACGGCACGATACGGATGAAGAAATCTACCCGAGTACCTGTTTTGAGGTTTGGCAACAATCGTCTGCAAGAGTTTTCCTTCAGAGCTGAAGTCACAGAAATCGAGAACGATCTCAGCTGGTTCGACCCGACCACTCCGTACAGTAGCTTGAGGATAGAAATTTCCTTCAAGAGAAAAATGCTCAATGTCGTTCTGACAGCTTTCTTGCCGTGCTCAACAATCGTGATGGTATCGATGCTCGCGTATCTGATGGATGTCAACGCAACCTACGAGAGAGTAGTTCTAACGATGACCACGTCGCTCTCGCAGTACACGCTCCTGACGACGGTCCGATCGTTCTTACCGCCCACCTCATATCTAACCCGCTGCGATGTGTTCATGTACGTTTCTCTGTTCTTCAATCTAGCCATGGTAATCGAGTGTGCGACGATCGATAAAATCAATACTCACGAGAAGGAGATTCTTCTCACCAAACCAGAACAGATAGGCTTCGAATACGTCAGCCCAACGCCGCGAAATGCGAAAAATCGCGATAGCTCCGCTGGCGAGGATTCTGATTATATCGATGTAGATACCGCCCGTTCTGATGGAGTTGGAGTATCTTCAGGGCTCCGCGTGAGCCTGAATAGCTTGAGACGGATAACGCCGAATGCGGCACTGAAATTACCGGCGCCCTCAGCTACTCGAGCGAAAAGGAAAAATCGATCGAATCGCGTCAGTCCAGCCCCGAGACTCATCACACCGTGGTCCAACACGAGAAGTGATTCGGCTATCTCTTTGCGTAACGCTGTCTGTCCGGATCACTTGTTCCGGAACATAATAGGACCAAGAGCCGAGCGCGTAGATAAGATCTTCAAGATGGTTCTGTCGCTAGCTTACCTCGGATTCCAAGCGTGCTTTTGGGCAGCACATTTAGATTTCTTGACAGGGGTCCAAATGATTTCGAGGAACAATTTCAATCAACTCTGAAAATCAAGGGAGAGATATCCCCGACGAGCTTCGAGATCGGAGGAAGCTCCTCGGCAATGATTGAGCTCTTGACAACATCGGACTCCGCGACGCTTTCAATCCGCGTTTCAAATCTCTACTGCTGAGTGTACTCAGAATGAAATAAACGAAGTCTTTCGATCGGGACGATGGTTTATTCTTCCGACGACCCCAGGCCACAGGCCCTCGGTACCATTCCGGGACATAGGAACGTCTCGTTTCCGATTCTTTTCCTCCAAGTGAAACTCCTCAATAAATTAGCATTCGGGATCCACCATGACTCTCGATAAAGAATACGTATCTAGAAATTCTTCCAAGGCGAACGCAAGACAGCTTGTCAATCCCCTGTCCGGTATCAGACACCCTGAACTGTCGCTGACAGATGAAAGTGTCAGAAAAAGGAAGTGATCCACCTCGTTCCCGAAACAGTCGCCTGTTCCGATGGGAAATCGAGGGTAGAGATTCAATGCATATTTTCGATTTCAACTCGAAGACATATCAATCCGTAAGCCAAACAAAACGCGTTTCTGATTTTACAGAGCATCGCACTATGTATCTACACAAGGGTCGCATGGCAGCAACGGGCTATTTACATGAGAATGTACATCGTCTCTCCTTCTATGGCAGGGCGGAAGCTAAGAATACCTCTACCTCAGAACATTTCTAGCGACGGGATGATCGTCTGACGACGATTCGTATAGGTGTCTGAATTCAAAACCTAACCAGTATTCCGATTGGTATTCCCACCAATTATCACTGGATCATGACAGCCATGCTGCAGCTGAGGATCATCGCCAGGAGAATCAGCGTCGCGACTGCTAATCCCACTCCTGCCAGCGTTTCTGAATGCGCTTCGACGAAGTCTCGAACTTTTGTGTGGCAGTTCTGCAAGGACACAAGAAATAAATTCGTTAGCAATGCCATCTCAGAGGACGACCACGGACAAGATTATACGTATCTTCGCGACAGAAGCCTTCCGGAGGATCGATCGCCGACCGTATATTATCTTCGTTGCGCTTAAAGCACACAACGCAACAGCGGAACTCGCACGCGCACAATAGCTTTTCTGTGGTCGCGAACGTCGCCGTCGTGATATGTGAAAGGCTTATGCCTGTCTTGCGTCTTTCTTGGACAGGTCGTTCATTATCGCGAGACCTCCTATAATCGCACCCTATCGAATCACGAGACCGTCATCTACAGTTACAAGTTCCTGTGCAAGTTGAATTATAACAAGCGGCGCTGTGGCGAGTCCCTCACGCGTCGGTTTTCCGCATCGGACGCTCGATCTTCACAGCCTCGATCGGCAGCCCTTGTTCGACTCGCCGCTGCACAATTGAAATATGTAATTTCGAATGAATTCAATATTTTAAAAGCGACAACCGTCGTTGTTGTGGTGGCAACGCTTGAGGTGCCGACCCGACAGCCGCCACTGAGCTCTTTGCGGAATGACCTTCGGTGATGATTTTGCTCTAAGAAAAGCGACTTCGTAGACACCTACCGCCGGGGAAAGTTTATCTCAGCATTTCAGAAAAGTGCTCCGGAATTTCAGACAACGAACAACAGAAGCTGTTTCAGATCCGCTCACGCACCGCGCAATGCGAAGAATTTGTGAATTCGACATAAAAACAGACCGTGGAATTATCAAACTAGCGAGCCAGTCAGCGCGACAAGTCTCTTCCGTCTTGAATTTTACATCGATATCTAGACTTGAGCGCAAACAGTTGTTGTATCGAATGGGATCGTGGTGAATCTCATCGAGTTCTGTTTCTCTTCCCTCGTTTATTTGTTCGCGTCAAGGCTGCCGTCGCTAAGGCCGGCGAGCGAGCGAGCCGGAGTGAATCCCGTGAACATAAAACATTCCCGATGCGCTCCATTGAGTACCGAGTTTCGATGAGAATTCCGCACTGACCACTGGCAGGAACAAAACTCGTCTCGGTTCCACTAATTTCTTCCAGGCTCCGCTGGAGTGCTCCCAAGTTTCCGTCGAAGAAATGGCTGCCATCTTCTTCGTTTCTCCTCGGCGAGCCGCTTCTGACTCCTCTTACGAACAGCGTTGGTTTTTCCCAATTTTCCATCCTTTGCCATCTGCGAGGGGTGGCTGCAGAGCCACATTTCCCCATCGGATTTCGTTCCGTGGACGCTGGCCGCGGTATTCCCGAGCAAAGAAGGCATGAATGGTCCCTGCTCCTCGGGAATATCCCTCATCTCTTTCACTCAGTAAGTCAGGGTGATTAGATGGGTCGCGTCCGTCCAGTGAATTTCGATTTCTTTTCGATTGCCTCGTGGCACTTGGCGTTTTCTGTAATAACGGGTAACTTTGGGACCCATCAGCGCCTCCGGGCGAATGCGGTAACGGTAGCGCGTATTTCATGGCGATTACCGATTTTGCCCACGGGCATTCGATTGCCGGTCGATGCCCCCTCCAGCTATTGAGGGAATTATGTCACCAAACACTTTCAATTATTGCTGCTTCTCGTATAGATTTTCTCCGACACCCATTGCGAGTAATCAGACTGAGAAGGGACCTCGAATCGTTCGGAGCCCCAACCGAGCCTTGCAGACTTGAACGATGCGTTGCGTAGTATCCAAACGTAGGAACTCGGCGTCCCATTGAATTCTGTAGGAATTCGACCGTGTCTCATTCGCCTTTCATTCCTGAGCCGGACACGAGTCTCGGGGAGAAAATAGGCCACCCATCTTGAACCTCCTGGAGAGCCGTGCGGAGCCGTGCCGGAAAATCCATCTCGGTCGGGATGGCTCGCATACCCGCGCGTTCTCACGAACGCGTGCGCGGAACCAAGACGGTTTGCGAAGGTCCAGATGATTTTCGGGAGATATCAGAAAGCGTTTCGATATCTTGAGAATGACGCGGCGGCTCTCTATGTGGTGAGCGGCTTAAGCGGCGCAAGGCTAAGCCGTTTTCGGACTGAACCGCATTGAGAAAAAATCGACGCATTTTCTGCGACGAAATAAAGCGCCTTTTCGACTGAAGGAGTTTCTCGTACAATACGTCATAGGAACGCGTGAGGCACGCCTTGCTCACGATTCTCACCGATACACGCGCGTTCCTGCTCACTCACACACATTGCGGACCCGGGAAGTGAACGACATTCGGATATTTCTGGTCAATTTTGTGGTCAAAATATTTTCGATTCCACCCTCTCGCCTTGGTGATTTCTCTTGTCTGTTGGCTTGTCGGTGATTTTTCTTGCGTTTTTCATCCGCATGTTTTACGTCCCGAACGTCCCAACTTGATTAGGGCTCTCACTTTCGAACGTCCGCGTTCTCTGAGACGTCGTCCATTGTCGTTACATTTCTGTGCTTCGGAATGTTCGTCGACTGTCCTTTCGCCTACTGCGTCCCGAAAGTCGACAAATCTTGCGATCTGACCGGGGCGGACATCTCTCCACATGGATCGCACGGCGGCAGCGACCAATGATTGTGATGGAATGAAGAGCCCGAAAGAGTGAGGAGAGTTCTTCCGAATCGATACGCAAGATCTCACAGCGAAATTAATGCCCGAGTCTTTGAGAATGATCGACCACAACTCACATCCGTCCTTGAGGGATCGCCACTCAGCTGTTCTACGGGACATCCATCCCGTCAGCTCGAAAGCTCTCTCGCGTACAGACGAAGGTTTCTTGAAAGACTTCAAAAGCTTCGAATCAGCGATCCGTTCCGTCTTCTCATCGACCAGAATCGAAGGAATTGGACGCTTTCGCTTTCCGCCTCGTTCGTCGGGCTCAGCGGTGCAACGAACCGGGGGGAGGAGAAGCCGCCGATCCGTAGCATGCTCGACCGCTTCGAGGATTGTCGTGAGTTTGAGCGATCTCGTGGTGTTCCGGGCTCGAGTTTGTTCCGAGGGGGGATCCCTCGATGTCCAGTCCATCGAGGAATCCCGATCCGGGAATCCATTTCTCGCTATCCAGCCATGTCTTCAATAGCCGCAGTGGTGGATGCGTTCTGCCGACGACGGCTCCGAAGACCGACGGCCTGTATGTTGTTATGAAGCACGTACCTGTACTTCAAGGGCGTCTCAAAGAAAGTGAGCTTTTAAAGCCCAGAACGACAACGACAAACAGTACCCGGAGCTGTTGTTGCGGCAATGTCGACGGCCGTTCGGTTAGCTTTGTAGGGTATCGGAGAAATCGTTTGCTTTGGAAGCTCTACTTTGGACCAGAAAGTGGCTTCGACTTTCTTCTGTGGCATCCCGTAAGGCGACGCTGGCATTGGCTGCCGTACACAAGAGCCGCTGACGATATCGTCGAGCTTTTGTTGGAAAGAGAGCTTTTACTGCTCCACCGAAACATATGAGACGAGCAACGTTGGGCTTGGATTACTTACGTCCATGTAGGTACTGGCCTCCGACGGGCTCGCCTGGCACTCCGGAATGTAGTCTTTCCGCACACAACACGATTCTGGCACCTGTGAAGATCACCGATCAGTTAAATCGCATCAGTGGATCGTTGACGTCTCGATTAAGAGACGGCCGTTCCGATGCGCTCCTTGCCGGTCAGCCGTTTCTTGCTTAGTCAGAGGAGCCCATCTTGAGCGGGAGTTCAATCAGTAGAACAGTGCGCTCCACCTCGCGCCGATGAGAGGACTTACCTGTTTTCTGTCGTTGAAATAGATGTTCTGGAGCCATATTTGATAAGGTTTGTCGTTTGGTATTTGGCTTAGCACGCCGCAACACTTGAACTGAAACGAACGCTCACGTCAATCAATTATTATATATCACCGGGGCGGTGAGGACATCGCCCGCGTAGCTCGTAAACGTCCAAGTGTCGGAGGTGCGGGTGGTATTCGGGGTCAGAACGATGGAATCGCTCTGTTGCACTTACATGCTGCTGAACGGCGTCCCATGCTCTCGTGACGGCTGTATCATTGCCGTACGCTGGAATGGTCATCACCATTTCTTGGTACATTCGCTCGCCCACCTTCGGGAGAAAAAGCACAGCGACACTATAAGACATCGTCTTTGGGACATTCTGATCCGAAGCAAGCTTTGATCTGTCCGGTCAATAATTGGATTGTCTCCATCGTTGGGATTCTCACCTCATTGCGGAAAACGTAGCCGAGGATTCCGCCGACCAGTAGCACGGCAAAGATCATGAGGAGGATACCGAAGAACTGCGAAAGTAGAGAATACAGATCGTCAGGCAAAAGTATCACAGAATCGCAGGTGATTCATTACTAGTGATGATAATATCGGTGTTCGCGGATCGTTGCCGATATTTTCCCGCTTTTCGTCAGCGGAAGGTCGTTTCCGCGCCACTTCATTCTGTCAGTATTCCCGAAAAAACCGCGTGGGGCCGAGCACGTAGCTCAGCTCTGAATTTTCTGCAGACGGCGAAGATAACGCCGACCGTTGCGCGGAATCACGTCATTTCGAAAGACCCTCACAAATTATCCCGTACGATTGCAATGTATGCCCGATATCATTTCCATCGATCCATCGCGCTGCCGCTCGTTAATTCTCTGATTTGTCACCATCGGAATCGATCGCTCTGCGAGGTGCTAAAAAATCGTATGGAGACATAAAGCGTAAAAAGCGTCGAATGTCCGACTGAGAGGTTTATGTTACCACGACATCACCGCCATGATGGGATTTGCTTCGGACACGAAGCGTCTTCACGAGCATGAGCTAGATCGATGACTCTGCATGCTAATCAGAAGCAAAAAACGGAATCAAGCTCCCGGCGACGCCGGCCTCCTGACGGAAGAAAGGGTTCTTGAGCCTCGGACCGCTGTTCGGTACGAGTGAGCTCGCACTAGCGATTACTTCACGAGGTGAATGCTCTCCTCCCTGAAGGAATGCCCGAGACGGGCTTGTATGTACATTTTTTTTGTGTCGAAGACTCCTACGCAGCTCTTGTCAAAACAACGAACTCCCGATGGTCTTGTGAGCACGCGGCTGTCCGCCTCCGACGACGTAACAGCACGTGTTTGCGTTGAAGAAGCGCCGCATCCAACTTATTTGAGCAGTAAAGCGAAAGGCGAGAATCAGAAGCCGAAAACGTGTAATGGAAACTTTCGCTCAGCGCTTTCGAGACGCTGTCTGCTGTCGTCGATTATTCGGGCGTTTTTTTGGCGAGCACTTGGCACGACAGCCAAACGAATTCTCTCCTCTCCCTCCGTATATCTATCCCGCGCGGATAGTCGACGAAGTGTCAGGCGAATGACTCCCGTGGAAGAATCGCTCGAGTCAGTACTTCTCCGGGACTCGTTCTCGTCGAATCGGGCCGGGAGCCTTTGAGAGAGCTGTGCGCGCCCTTTTCGGCGGAATTCGCTCGAGAATCTCTCGGGATGGGTCTCCCGGTCACGCCCTCAGGACAAATGAACTCGATTAATGATTGTCCGAAGAGGAGCACCGAAAGGAGCAGCTATACATATACCTTCGACAAGTCGTCGAATGGGAGCTTTGCCAGGATATTCCATCCAAAAATGATTCATACCCCTTCCGACGGAATTGGCGGAGTTCGCTCGACGGAATCTCGATCACCTTGGAATAACTCTGGTTACGAATATCGCCACTGCGGCCACTGCCAACGCGGCAGCTGGTCCGGCACGAAATCAGAACCACGATAGATACATGCGACAAGTGGCGAACAACTGTCCGCTTGGCAGACACCGCCTTTGTCCGGACGAACGCATCGCACGACAAGATGGTAAGCCAAGCAGCCAGTTAGCCAGCCAGTGAGTAGATCAGTCGATCGGTCGGTCGGCAGGTCGACCAACAAGCCAAGCAGTCTGTCAGAGAGCTAGCTCGATAGCCAGCAGTCTGTCAGCTGGATTGTGGCTTTTCAAAGCGCGAAAGGCCCCTACGCTAAGTCGGGGCCGTCTCGACCGACGCTTTTCTCTAAGGCACTACAGCGAGCGTACATATCCGGCTGAGAGAAACGAGACGTACAATCTCGAGATTCTGGGTTGGAATCTCTTCCTTGGTAGCATAGCGAGTCCGGCCCTCCCTTCAATCCATCCTGAATCGCTCGTTCGGTATTGGAGATCGAGTGCCCCCGCTGCTGTGAAGCCGGAGCGACCATTATGGAGCATCCAGCCTTCCTAGCCTGAACAGACGATAGAGTTTTCCACTACCGTATTCTCTCTAATAGTCGGGCACTCTCTAATAATCGGGCACTCTCTATTATAAGGGCAGGATCGGGAAACTTGAAAAATACACGGGCACTCTCCATTATAAGGGCACTCTCTATTATGAGGGCAGGTTCGGGGAACTTCGAAAATGGAGGAGTATTCTCGGTCGGTGGACTCTCGTCATGATGCAGCGACGTTCCACGTCTTGTGGTTAAGTTCTCGTGTTGACACCTTCGAATGGTCAGCTGTGCGAGTACGCAGCGGGATCGATCTCGCGTAAAGTTTGGAGATACCTTCCACTCATGGCTGCAGTGGAAAATATACAGGGGCACTCTCTAATACACGGGCACTCTCTATTATACGGGCAGGTTTCGGGAACTTGAAAAATATACGGGCAGGCCCGACTATTAGAGAGAATACGGTAGTTATTCGCTCGATATCCAGTTCAAGTGCTCTACAGGGGGGTTGTACACTTGAAGATTCGGTCCTTATCGGTCCGTCTCACTCAGTCATTTTCCTGCCGGTCTCTGCTTCACATCTGTCATCTGAAGGTCTACACTTTCTCCGAGCAATCGCTTCCCGTATCGGTGAGATCGGACGACAAAGTCGACAATCGAATGTCCCTTCCCTCCACTAGAGGCATTGTGTTTGGAAAGTCAGTCCTTTGGGGGCGCCTCGCCTACGTGTGGGGTTGGCGCTAACACAAATGCGGCGAAAGATCGAATGGAGTCTCTCTCCGGTGATACTGTGCGGTGACAATGCGTTGCTCGATCGCTTCCCTTGCCCTGAGTGCTGATCCGCTTCACGGCTCGAAAGGTGAGTCGCCAACGACTGAAGCAATTGTGAGTGCTTTCGGATTTTCCGCGCCTGCAACGCGAAGTTCGGTCCGGGCCGTGATTGAGACGGCGAAAAGAGTTCCCACCCGGTGACGCGCAACTTCTACGTTTTCTTTTTTCAATCAATGAATAGCTGTAACTTTCCCTTCCGCGACTTCGGGCGGCCGTCGGAGAGCATGATGGACTGAGATTGATATGAATAGATTGGACCTGATGAGCTCATCGATACAAACACACAGAGCTTTGCAGATTGATTATAGCGAATAATTATTGTTCCGAAGCCCGTATTCTGAAAGCGGACCAACGAAGCTAGGCATCGGGGATTCACGAGTCAGGTTTGATTCAAACGGAAATCTTCTGGTAGCGTATTCTCTTCAAATTTTTCTAGGTCTGACGCTCCGCAATACCTGTAGCGGTGAGAACAAGCCACTCGGCAATCGTCGTTCGATCGCACACTGTGTACCGAACGGATAGGTTTCTCCGTCTTACGAGAAGTACAAAAATAGCCTCCGCTTCTGCAGGACGAATACGTTCCGTTCAGAATCGTGTCTCCGGTCCCGCGGACACTCAAAAAGATACCCGGACATCCTTGAAGCGGTCCTGTCAGACGAAAGAGTCGGTCGTACCGAAATTGTCAGACATCCTCAAATAAGATGAATGATTGCATGTTGTTTGTCGATTCGTTGATGATTGCCAGACTTTATCGAGTCAATCATGATGCGCAACTCAGTCGAAATCGATTGGCGATGAGAATTACCGGGCAGCACCCCTCCAATCAGCTGGCTGGTGTTCTCTCGAGTGAACATCGCGCAATTGATTTCTACAGAAGCGAACAAACCGTTGGAACCATTCGGAACCGGGAAGAGGACTGTCTGATGGCTTTGATCGATTCTTGCACCTCAAGGAGCCATCGAGGGGGGCAGGGTAGTCTCGAGATACAATTCAGATTCTGGAATCCCATCTCGTGCGAGAATCCTTTTCTCGTCCGTCATCTGTTCCGTACAGCACTAACCACTCGATTTGGGACGAGCGGCTGCTCGTGGGAACTCTCCCGGCGGAGGAACTTCTATTAGCTAAGCCTCTCACAGATATGGATGCAGAGCACCAAGAGATCCCGTCCTCGTCAGAAACGGTGCAGTGAGTCGTTCCTAAGAGATATATTCTGAATTCACTTCCGCGTATTGCTTCAAGTCGAACGTTTACCGAAGTCTTCTATCGAAATAAAAAAGTAAAACTTCATCAACATATATAAACATTTCATCCTTCCAGACTACAATGATACAAGACCAGAATCGCCTTAGGAACCAGATATATCGATTCATTCGACTCGGTCAAGATTAATACGTGCGTCCGACGTCTTCCTGGGTACTGAGACGCTCGTCCCATCTTAAGGAGAAACTTCTCGCAGCAGGGTTCGTAAAGAAAATAATGTTTTCAAATCCGTGTTTCCCTCACGTGGTCGCGTTCTGAAGGAGCAAAGTCGCTTTCTGCTTCGCAGGAGCGTTTCTGGACGACGACAGATCGTCGTTCCATCAAACTCTCGATCGCGAAACGAGGATGCGAGTCGAAAACGACGTACGGAAGCTAAATTAGCGAGGCATATAATAATCAAATGAGCTGCAGCAAAATACCGTGGACATGTCCTGGCGTAAAATAAGAGTAAACACGGAATCGAAGGGAAACCGAAATGATGTTATTTTCCGGCCCACGGAGGATTTTGAAGGAGCGATAATTTCCCATCTTCCGATGGGGGCCATTAATTGTACAGGGCCCGCATAAACGGTTGATGGTCGTCTCCATACTCGGGATTTCTCGCTTTGGAGTTTAAGGCAGTCACATGTGAGAATAGTCTCGGCTAGAATATCAGGACTGTGCGATACTTTTCGCAGAAAACAGAGCCGAGAACTCGGCATGGCTCACGGAGAGCCCTCATCAACGGTAAAACCAATTTCCACTTCTGGGAAACGCAGCGAATCCCCGAGAAATCGATGCTTGACCGCTGATGGAACAAATCTCTGAGACCGTTTGTGCTGTTACTTCTAAGCGTCGCTGGCGGTTCAGGATGTCCAAATGCGCGACGGTGACATAAACCGATCCCAGACGAGTCCGTCAGAGTGGGAGGTCTCCGATGTTCTATCGGCAATAATATCGGAAACCACATGGAAACGATAGATACATCGCTCGACAGGGACGGATTGATAAGTGCGCACGGAAGTCACACGCACTGACTCATATTCTGCAGCGACGGTTTACGCTATGGACAGATCGATATCTAGACTGTACCCGAAACACCTCCCTCTTACAGCGATAGGCAGTTCTTTTTTCTCAACATCTTTCGATCGTCATCAGCAAGGTCGTTTTCTTGTTTTCTTTTGCGTTCACAATGCGTCGAATCGCGACCGCGGTTTCGAATGTCAACCTTGTGGATGGAATTTGCCTTTTGAGGCATCCTTGTCGTCGTGGTCAAGCGGGCAAGTCATGCATCGAGTGAACCCACGAGTAAATCATAGAGTAAGCCCCCAACAAATCGAGAAAACAAAGTCGTTGACGAATTGGTAATGCCACGCACGCTCTAGCCCAGGCATCACTCTGACCACATCGAGAGGGAATTACCGTTCGGATCCATACCGAAGGGCTGATCATCTTCTGAGGATAATGATTCGTGAAAACTTCCCTCACGGCCCGAAGGATTGCTCCATCGAGAGCAAATGAAGGAGAAGAGCACCGTTCGGAGGGCTCCATCGTCGAGACCAAATGACACGGCTTCCGACGGAATCCTCGGCAGAGAAGAGCGCTTTTCCGCAAAAGGGTTCTCCTGTGACGATTAGCGCCAGGAGCTCGTATCTCTCGATTGACGACTCATCCGACCGAGGTCAGCAAAGTTCCGGCTAGAAGACGCAAGTGTTCGCGAGGTTCCGAGTAAGTTCGTTTCGGCTAAGCTAAAAATACCTGCCCATAGCCAACAGGGGAAATAATTCTGAGGACCTTCGTGCCTCGCTGATTCCAGACAAGGCAAGTAACGACGAGAGGCAGAGCCACTGGAGGTGCCGAAAAAAAATCTGCGAGAATTTCGGGCGGAACTTTTTCTAAGAGGGAAAGTTATGCGACTCTACACAGACAACAGGGAAGCAGGGAATGGACAAAGGAGCAGACGGAACCATTACACGGATGACTTCGGAAACACAAAACCGTTTCGCGTGCGCCGCTAGATCTGAAGCTGACGGAGCGAGCTTAACGGGAGCTTTATTCCTATGCTCCTCGCTATAAAACCATAACCACGGGAGCTACCCTAAAGCGAAGTTTCTGCATCCTCCGTCGAGATTCCCGAGACAGAAGCTGCATTCCGACGAAGTATTTTCAATAGAAGCGACAGCTGCCTCAAATAGAACGAGGAACATCCGAATCAGTCGCCAACCTTGGCATCCGTGGGGCTCTATGGCTAAACGACGACTTCTGTTTCCGTGGACTGTCGTCGACTTTCGTGGTCTTCTGTGGGTTTTCGTTCATCCGTCCATCCATCCAAGCATCCATTCGTTCTTCGGTCCCTCCGTTTGTCCGTTGCTTCCTCCCTGCCCTCGTTCATCTATTTCTTCTTCCATTCATCCATATAGCCACAATAAGAGTCGTTGTTCCCATCGCGCACAGTGAGGAGAAATTGTTCCGTTGTTCACCATTGAGCCCAACGAGAAAAGGGCGCTCGTCGCTTTCGACCGGAAGGTGACTCCGCAGAAAGCGAGGCCGCGAATCATCAGTCCCTTATTCACTATTATTCAGCATCTTAGTTTCTTCTGTAGGTACACGCAGCTGACTTAAGTGCTTTGCAAGTGCCTGCCTGACCAAGCCGCATTTAGTTTTCCTGTCCACATTTTTCTGCCCGACTCAGTCGACCAGCCAAACAACCGACTGGCCGGCTGGCTATCTAGCCGTACAACATGAGCTCTCAAGACGACGCGCGACGTCTATGAGCACCGAGTGCGTTCAGCGTCATATAACACGCACACACACACATAGCAAACCAGGAAGTGTGTCCGGAGTCAATTTAGGGAACAAGAATAGTTGCAAAAAGGTCTTTCATTCAATTATGATCCTCAACGGACGGAACCGACAACGTTGTTGTGGTGAATGTTGACGTCTTAATTCGACACGATCGCGCGATAGAAGAAAGAATTCAGTTGAGACGATCCTGAGTCGCGACAGAAAAAAAGTGAATGTTCGGAATCTGCTAGGGCTTCCCCCGTCGAAATGGCCCGCAGCGAAGAACCCGGAGAGTGCGTCAAAGTCTCAGCCGTCGACGTCAAACCCGACCAACGGCATGCTGGCACCAATTGGAACGTCTGGCAATCCGCCTAAATCAATCGAGTGCCGGCCGTGGAGGCAGTCACCATTCGTCTCGGCTCATTGGAACAATGCAAAGATCGTCGCGGATTTCCACGCCATGTCGGAAAGACAGGTGGACGAGGAGGGCGATTCGAGAGGAGTGGAGATGAATCATTGCGGAAACCCCCTTCGTCTGGATTTTCCCGAGACCTTCGGAATCCAGATTCTCAGGGGAAATCTCTAAAATATAGTGGTGAATACTGAAAGCCTTTTTTTTGCGTGCTACTTCGATGAGCTCAATCGAACGTGCAGTTACCGAGACGCGTGGCTGCCGTTGCACGCTCGTCACCGATTTCTGAGCCGAAGCAAAGATCGTTGAGCGGCGAGAGGCTGTTCGTTTTGAAGCCCTGTCCGAGCAAAAGGTGGCAGCCTACCCCCGGACGGCCAGTCCATGTGATATCCCCCGGAGGGGGCCGGGTAGGGAATGGAGGAAGGGGGAAAAACATTGGGTAGAATCGAACAAAGATTCGGAAATCATCATCGATTCCGGCGGCTTGAAGTCGGGGCAGAAGTCAACGACCTCCGGCGACCTTGGCAGTGGCCTCCGTGCTGCGATCATGAGATGGACCGCTCGACAGGCGCGAACAGAATGAAGGGTTGATTTTGAAGTGGGCAAATTTCACTTTTGTCGGCGGGCTCTTTCCTCTGTTCCGACATGGGCTGCCATTCACGCGATTATCGACTTTCATCAGAAAAGCAATCGATCCGCTCGCTTTAGCCCCTAGCAAGCGGAGACAAGCGACGATCGGTGAGGAGAGCTGTCTGAACTTCTTCTCGGTGATTTGATTTCTCGGATCTTTCCCTCTAAGTTCCCACGCGTGAGTTTACAAGTACATCTTGCCTTCTCAGTCACTCGTCGATTTGCGCTTCTCCCCTTCAAATTATCAAGCGCCGCGCAATGGCATGTTGCAATTGTTCTCTGCACGGTGGAATTGAGGCCCCATATCGGTTTGTCAGCACGGGATCGCAAATCATAAACATTGTATTTGCGTCCAGCTTCAACCTCGCTCGATGGCCGCCTCGTTCGCTAGGTATTTAGAATTATTTCGGCTCATCTGTTACAACGATGGATCACCCGGCCGCGGCGAGTAGAAGGGACGAGCCGACACACACACTGACAGAGACAACGAATTCTCGAGGCTCGTCTGTCTCATCACGATCTTCTCTAGCAGCGAGGTGAGAGGGTATGTCTCGCGATGTTTGACCTTTTCCGGGTTTTTCCGTAACGGAGTGTGTTTCCAGGGAGCCGAAGGCGAAACAGAAAACCGGTTTCCCTCAAGAACCGTTCAGCTCTCACAATGGGCTTCACGGCTTTCCGCAAGCTGGAGTTTGAATAGTCACGATGACCCACTGACGGGATATTTAGAAAATTGGATTCCAATTCAATTGAGGTGCTCGCTCTGCGGCCTAACTCTCCAGCGTCATCGTTTTCTCGATTTGCGCTGTGGTCGAGCCGCAGATTCCACCTCAATTGTCACACCGCTATTTTTCCCAAGCCCTGATCCCCGGCGGCGGCTCCACCGACCGAGAATGATTCACCCCGAGGTCCGTTGAGCAATGCTGTCCGGCTGAATAGGCTCTTGCATTTTCTGTCGCGCGTACTCGCGTTGACGGTATGGAGGTACGGACGCAACGTCAACAATGCATAAGCTCACAGAAGACGAAGATGTCCAAGGCGGCATAATTTAACAAGTGGTTATGATGCCGCCTGGGGGTCTTAGCCAACGCTGTTGACAACAACATGCGATAGAGCTTCCGAGGGAGGCCACTTCCTCAGAACTTGAAGACTATTCCCTTGAGAGAAGTTCTCGGCAATAAATTACCGCTCCCTCCGGAGCTTCCGAAGGAGGAGAACCGGCTGCCCCTCAGTCCCCGAGCGAATAAGTTGCGTCAAGAGGAAGCTCTTTTTCCACGCCATTGCCTCATCCATCGTGTCTCGATTTTGTGACACACGTACAGAGAATCTAGAGTATTTCGGCGAAATGAATCCGTGTAATGCAGAATCACGCTTGCCGCATAAGTTCTGGTGAGTGAATCATCTACTGATTCAGTTAGGATGAATTCTGTCCCGCTTCGCGCAATAATCCTTGTTGAAACTTGACCTATCAGGAACTTCTGTCGCTTAAGCAGATTCCCGTATCTTTCTCAAACGCAGGATCCCGGAGTTTCTTGTACTCACCGTGAACAAGAGGCATTTGATCTCTTTGAAGGCTCCTATGCATCCCATGAACGATACTACGGTTACGAGACTGCCCGTAGCCACTAAAATCGATGCTGAAGACACGTAAAGATCCGAGCCCAATAGTCTGGCCATAAAACTTCTGCAAAGATAAAGTCCGTGTTCAGTACAGACGACGCTGGAGACAGGGGTAATTATTACGATGGAGAGAAACTCCGGCAAGATTCGTACCTGTCCGCCAGAGTCCAAACGCCAACGAAGAGAATAATGATACCGCCGATCAGTATCAACAGGTTTGTGACCAGGAGGGCAGATTTCACCAGACGACCGCATCCTTCCAGCATACGCGTATCTGAAATATGGCCGAGACGCTGTCACGGAGTTTCCAGAAAATTGTTGTGTAGCCCTCTCGGATCTGTAGCTCGGGCGCAGCCAGATTTTTTCTGGAGTGAGATCATTTCTTCCCCGCCATCCATTAACTCGTGAATTTCCCTCCGAACGAGCTGATCGGAGCAATCCCCTGGCTGCGGCACTTCTCGAAAATGAATCAGGGTTTGGACGATTGAAAAAGGAACCGTCCCCGAAACACGAACAGAGGCGTACCATCGGGAGGCTCGGAGCGACTTGGCTCAATGGTTTTCTGATGATCTTGTCAAGCGTGAAGTATTGAACCTCTTTTCGAACGTAATCACTCAAGAACAAGCCATTTTGCTATCCCCATGGGAAACGTGGTGTGACGATCTACGTACCACAAACAACCAGCAGAGAGAAAACTGATCGTGGCCATGATCACTGCCGGAGCGACTCACGAATCCCTCAGCGGAACTCTACTATCGTCAAGAACTCGTTGACAAGCCTCGGTGTTGAGAATCCCTCATCGATACCATCTAGCCTTGACATAGGCTCGTTTCTGCCCCAGCAGCTATCGCGGAACACTGACAGCAACAAAAGCGGTTCTTTTCTTCGAACAGAAATGCGGGTAGATATTTTGCCCACTGAATGGCTGTATGCAAACCACTGTCAGCCGGGATCTTCGCGATTTTGAGGTCAGCGATGGCAAGTGGGTCAACCCGAAACCGCCGACATCCACATCCGATCTCGCGACGGGGAACGAGCAGAACTGTCTCGCTAGTCCTGATCCACGAGGACCGAGGATCAAGGATCAAGGGATATTATAATCAACCAGCCCATTGAGTGTGGCACATTGAGAAATCTACCGGATATGGACAACTTCGAAAGATGTGTGTCAGATTCGGAAGTCGAGCGAAAGCTCGATAGTACTCACACCAAAACTTGCGTTTGAGTTTCTGAACGATTCCCATGTTCGATGAGTTTCCTGACAAGTCTTCCGAATTCCTCGAAACGTCAGTGGCGAATGGGAATGATTTATTTTGCACCAAAATCTCACTCAGAAAGTTCGTCGCTTCACTCGGACCGTAGACAATTTGAAGATCCTAACAAAACCTAATGGAAAGTTTTCCTGCAGCACCAACACAGTTTTTCGGCTCCGTCAGACTGATGCCATCTCGACTGATTCACCAAAAATAGCTCCACCGCGCACTCTCTCGTTTTCTGTAGACCGCGATCTCACACTATCTCGCGACACCAGACAAACTTAATGATCTGCGATTCGCGCACTGCACCGAGTGGATGAGTGCTCTGCAGCACTCTGTCTAATACTGATACTAGTCAGATAGCGTCGGCTTCCGTCGAGCAGCGCTGACAGAAGTACTTCAGTAGTGTCGGTGGTCGGTCGACTTCTGCGGGGACTTCAGCCATTCCGGCGAAGAAACGGTCCCCAGCCCTTTCCATCCCGGCCGAAATTCCCTCGTTCTCTTTCTCCTCTTCTTACGTAACGCGCGCGACAGTGTAAAGACCTCACCGTCAGACACGAGGGGACCGCTGGCAACGAGCGAAAGTGCGTTGAGAGAAATCGGAGCAAGCGAGCCCCCGTCCAAGCGAGTGCGAGCACGACGACGTCGACTGGCTCTCCTCGTTGACGTCAATGATGGCATTGATTCGACTCTGGCGCTCAACTATTGTGGCAAAGACACACACACACCAATCGGACTGATTCAAAGCGTTCCTTTTGGCGCTCGTCGCCAACCTTGGGCTTGAGCCAGGACTGCTCGAAGTGGGACTGTCCCTCAACTCGCATGATAAGTTGGGTGACCGGCCAGGGCGGGGTGAGCTGTCCCTGCTGACGTAGATAGAATCGTTGCGGGATCCGTGAAGTCCGCGATCCGATCCATTCCTATCAACAGCGAATGGAGTGAGCTCTCATCAACTTATCGCGTCGCGTTGAGATAAGCGAGAGCCGCTGTGAGCGTGAGAAATCGAGCTCTCAACTTCTGAATCCGATTTCGAGATCTTGTTTCAGTGAAGACAGATATTTCTGCCTCGAGAGCTTCCGAACCTCAAGCACATCTCGGAACCCGCTTGAGGGAGCTCTGTTCCTATCCAGGGATGACGATGGAATTACGAGGACGAAATGTCACGGAATTATAAGGGGCATCCCGAATAGCTTCGGTTCTTCATGCAGGCTCCCGCGATTGTACCCCTAGGACCGGAAGATAAGCGGGACCCGGAATTCCGAGCAGGAGGTCGCTCGTTGACGAAAGAAACAACAAAAAACGGAGTCAATAATTGTACCTCCATATCGGCGTCACCGTCTGTGTCTATCGTGGTATATTCGATTGATGACCCGTGCTTTACAACGATACCGGCGGCATTCCAGTGATCGACTGCAAGGGGGCTGGTCTGACGATGCCGACAGCTTAACATCGCGAAGAATTCAATTCACTGCTTTCTGTAGGATGCTAATTAACTCGGCTCGAAAATGATTGATCAAGATTCTCTTGCCCCTCACGATCATCAGAATGGTCTCAATCGATTCCCAGAGCCTAATGGAATTCATGAGATCAGCTTCAGCATCGGAACCGGCTACCCCAACAGGCTTTGTTGAGCTCCATTGGATCCTGGTTCTGATGGTCCACATCGGTGAATTCCCGTACTCGCATTCTTCATGCCCAGAGCACCCGGGTTTATCCTCCGCGTTCATCGAGAGCTCCGTAGGGGGAATTTCGCGAAACGAGTCATATACTAAATTGGTCCAGAACTCTTCGCTGTGCGTCGAGCAAGCTCTCCCGGACAACAAAGGCGACAATGGCACCGGGGATTTCCCGGTCGAGGGAATGCGTGATACTCGCTACAAATTTCCCGCTCCCGTTTCCCGGTTTCGGCACTAAAGGAATTCTTCCGGCTCAGGGTCGGAGTGACTCGGACGCCTCAGACTCGCCGTCTCTATAAAGAGTTCCTGTTTTAACAGACTCTTATTCACACGACTCGAGTTTGCCAATTCCGAGAAGTGATTCGACTTCGAAGAGCAGTTCTGGGCTGATTTTCAGCTTCGATCGATGGCAGATAAGAATTTTTCAAGTCGATGGGTTCTACGGCCGATAGGCTTCACGTCTCGGGAATCGTCGGCGTTCGGATCCGTTGGCACCGAGGGAGGTTATTGTCCTCCCGAACGGCCTTGTATGAGTCGCGCATCAGATAAACCAAAAGAGAGCCCCTCACGATGAAAGGGCGATCCTTCTGTGTCTCGAACATACTGAGAGATGCAGAATCTTTTGAAGCTGAGTGATCAGAAGACCATGCTCTTTATAAACCTCCTGTGGGGAAGGAACCCTCCTCGAAGTTTCCGCATTGCTTTGGATCCCCTTTGAACAGCTCAAATCGTCGATGCCAATGAGCAGCCGCAGTCGTTCCCGACCGAGGCTTTTCCCGAGGCTTTTCCCGAGGCTCGATGAGATCACATACTTTAGTCATGCGTTGCTTCTCCAGATGCTCTGGTCTTCCCTGCTGACCGACGGAGGCGAAGTCGGGGAGCCGGACAGACCCTCTGGTCACGCGCAACGGGGAGAGCAACTCCAGTGAACGCGAATTCCTCTCGAGCGCGGGCCGGAAATTCCCCGAAGTCGGGTCAACGAACATCGGCGTCCATACGAGGCGCGAAGAAAGTGAATGTCGTTCTTTTACATCTGACGTACAATCGGAGCCGCTGCGATTTTCGGTGACGACAAAGACGACCACCGGAATTCCGCGCTACGCTCGTCCGCCATATCATCATCTTGAATCACAGAAGGGTGATGAATCAGTGACTCTGAGAGACCTACACAGAACGAAAAAGTCCACCTGTCAATTTCCGTCGCTTCTCGGCCATAGTTTGATACAATCGACTTCCATATCGTCATTGGATGAGTCATAGAAGCAATGAATATCTGAAAAATCTCTCATACCATTCCATGTACAGTATTATTTGTGATATGAAACCATTCGAGACTCTCTTCATCGGAATGTCCGTCTAGGTCGTAGAGATCATGAGGAATTGAATGAGGCATTTATCCTTTGATGATTTCGTAACTACAGATTCCTGATTCGGGCGAACCTTCTTGAGGCATCGTCCACCGCTCCGCTGATAGCTCTGCGAAACCTCTTCGGAGAGGAGGTTCTCTGACTAAGAGTGGCGCTTTGCAGGTAGAAGCGTCTCCGAAAGGAAATGTATCGGTCGGAATATGACTTGCTCAAACACGGAGCGTTTCGGCATCGCTGTCTCGCCCTCCAGAGATCTAGATTGTGTCAAATCATCTCATTCAATCAGCGATCCGCAATCATCATGATGCCGCGATGATCGAAACGCTTTCTCGAGCGAATTAGGATCAGCCAGAGACACTGAACGCGGAAAATCATCGATATGGACCTCATTATTCGTTGCTCATCTATAACTTCTGCTCATCAAGTGTTAACAGGATGCGAAATTTGGATCAATCAAGCCTCTCGTCTCATTTCCAGGATCCCTTTATGGGAGGAACAGCGAACTCCGTGCACTGCCCTTGCTGATCGAGCGAGTTTTGCTCAAGCTGGCAGTTTGCATTTAGGTTCGCCGAGTCAAGGCTCGTGGACGATATTCAAATGGAAAGTGTGCCAGGAGTCCCTACGTAAAGCGAACATTTCTGGGATCGAATCAATCCGACACCAGACGCGCTTTGCGCACAGAGGGTTTCTGATTTTCGAGTTTTTGGCACTCTGATCAAAACCAATGGAGCTTGACTCGGATCATGAGTTCAAAACACCTTGAACCTCGTGTGCGTACTCGCTCTGACGTCGCCGCAGCATTGAGCCTTCGGAGCGGTTTTCGAGGAAAATCACTCGATATTCTGTTTTTGGAACGATTCGCTTTCATTTTCCAACTGAGCGGGCGACGGATGGGTAGTCCGCTCCGGAGGGGCTGCTCGGGTGCATCGGATCGCCGGCTTGGCCGCTTTCCAAATTTTGGATACACTGTATAACGTGCGAGCAATTTACCTTCGTACAGACCGCCGACGTTCCCCGGCCTTCTCTCTCACCCCTTGGTCTGTCAATTACTTGGCTGACAGTTGCACGTTCGCATCGGGGATCTCCATCAAACTCCCTACATGAAGGCATGTCAGGTAGGGTATGGATCGTGCGCGGTACCTTTTGACGACTTCGGATGGATTCCCTGCAGATGCTCTCAGTCAGTGGAAGCGATGCTCTCGAGAAGTCTCGGGATCGTGATCTCAGAAGGAAAAGTCTCTTGGAGGCTACCTGCCTTGCCCAGAATCGGAATCACCTACCATGCCCTGGTCTTGGCTTGGATGGAGCATGAGGCCGGATTTTCCTCTTCAACATGAATGATTGACCCGAATCCTCTTTTGGAGGAGCCGCATGACTTCCCCGGAAATGCTTGGGCAAACTTCACACGGGAATCCCGCATATCAGCTTCATCAATAATATATCAATCACTCGCGAGCAGTGGCTGCATTTGTGATACTTAAGGCATCCAATGACTTTCCATCCACTATTGAATGCCGGTCATCTTCATCGCTTGTTTTTCAGCGCAGTGTTTTCATCGAGGAATGTTGGGCTTCATGAGTAACTATTGATTATTTTCCAATTAAGCCACATATTTTTCTAAAAGAATCGATAAAATGGCATTTTATTGGCTGTACGGAGCAGTATTGCACGCGATGGAGGTAGAAAAAAGACTTCAGCTCGAAATATATGAATTCTGTGAGCTAGACGAGGCTGCCCCCGACGGTTGGTTGATCCCGAGTCCTTCCCATTCACATTACTTCTTGTCATACTTGTAGAATCCTTCGCCGGTTTTCATTCCCAGTTTATTCTCAGCGATGAGCTTATTCAAGAGGGGCGAGGGATTGAACAATGGATTGTCCGGGAACTTCTTGTGCCATCCTGGAAGAAAATGAGCAATCGGAGACACCGCCTCTCGAGACACCGTCGAAATCCCGAAGCTCCAGAATAGCTCGAAGAAGTTCAGCGAACTAACCGTCGATAATGAACTTCGTCACGTCAAGTCCGACATAGTCAGCCAACTCGAAGGGACCCATCGGATGTCCAGCTCCCAACTTCATCCCGATATCGATGTCTCGAGCGGACGCATCTCCACGTTCCAACATCCGTACGGCTTCCATCATGGTGGGTACCAAGAGACGGTTGACAACGAATCCGGGAGTGTCCTATAGAGAAGATACGGAGAGTTATTCGCTAGTCAGAGCTGACCGCAGCGACGGGAGACTTGCGGTGACTTCATCCGAATCAACAGGTCAATTATTCAACACTATTATCTTGAGCGTAACGAACTTTGCAGGCGATCGTGGTTTTGCCGATGGCTTTCCCCCAATCGGTGATCTTCTGGTTGGTGTCGTCGGACGTCTCCGAGCAACGTATAACCTCCAAGAGCTTCATCACAGGCACGGGGTTGAAGAAATGGAGACCTCCGAATCTATCCTTACGATCCGTTGCCGAAGCGATTTCCGTGATGGACAGAGAGGAGGTGTTCGACGCGAAGATGACACTGGCCGGCGCGGCCTTGTCGAGCGAGGCGAAGAGTTTCTGTTTGATCTCAATGTTCTCCACGATGGCCTCCACAACGAGATCGGTATCTTTCACACTATCCTCAGCAGATACTGAGGTTTTGATCAGGCCCAGGGTCTTCTTCAAGAACTCTTCACCGGTCTTCGGATCGTCAGCGAATTTCTTTTTCACGACTCTTTGCAGGGATGTTTGAATCCCCTTTAGAGACTTGTCCAAGAGATCTTGTTTCTGGTCAACGATGGTAACTTGCTGGCCAGCCTGCGCGGCTACCTGGAATGAAAAGTTGGATCTTGAGCTCTGATCCGTTTGCACATATTCGGCTGTTCATACTCCAATGGTCAAATGAACATGCAACAATATTTCACCTGAGCGATTCCCGAACCCATGGCTCCTCCACCGATGACCGTCACTCTCTTGATCTGACCCATTGTCGCGGACAGCGAGAAGCTGCGGGCGGTGACCGTGCTCAAGCCAAGCATGGTCCTAACTGAAAAGGAGTAGGAGAGATAAAACAGAGGCCTCTGCATGCCGACCCGCGTTCGCGTGATCGACTCACCACGGCCGAAAGAAGGAGCGTAATATCGAATTATATCCTTGAGCGCGGTACCGCTGGTCAAAAATTGAGATCCGCGAAACCGTTCGGCTCAGAATGGACACCTGCGATGAAACTAGTGCAGCGCCTGCCTCCGGATGTCACTGACACGCGATCTCGATATTTCTGTTCGCTGACAGGCTATTCAGTGTCCGGTTGTAGCTGTCAGAACAGTAGAGGTGTTTAGAATGAGTCACCGAATAAAATCTACGCTCTTTGAGAGTCTGCATCGACTCCTTCGCATCGTTCGAGGGGAAATGCATGGATGGAGCTCCTCCGAAATCCAGAGCGAGACTTGCGTTCCAGCACTTCGGATCCGAGATTTTCATCGGAGGTTGGGCTATCTTCCGACCTTCCGGTGTATTTAGAAGATTCCACTTTCTCTCCAGTCCCTCCGAGAAGAATCACATATCAAGTCTCCGCAAACGGTCAGAATCAAACCCCGTCCGCTACGATGCGCGGAACAGTCCCGGCGCCAAGCGGGGCCATGGCTCCGTCGGGATCCTCAGGTCCCGGCCCCCGGAAGATGTCGATTCCCGATTTCCGGCACGAATGTCCACGAGCCCTCCTCCCGCACAAGTAGATAATCCTATGCTACTCGAATCTAACCCCGGGCTCCTTGAGGACGGCTAGGAAGGTCACGGGCATCCCTGTCGGTCTGCGAGCCATGACGGTTCGACGACGGAACTCCACTCCTGAGCCGCAGAGATCAATGATCACGCTTATCGATGTCATATCGATCCTCACCGCAGAATCACGATGAGGAGTGACCGTGCAATTTACACACTTATCGTATTGATTCAGAATCACTATAGGCGCTAATCATCATTTCTCGGGCGTTTCGAATTGAGGTAAGTGCTCTCCGTCTCCGTGAACGAATGCCACCTCCAGAGGACTCGGAGCGCTCATCACTTCTCAGAATTTTTCTTCGTGCCAGGCCCGTACAAGTGCGCACCTGTACTCGAGACCAGAGGCCAATCATGGTCAAGACCGATCCAGAAAGCTCATCAGCTGTCGGCAAATAACGGGGAGAAATTCCTAGAGTAATTCTCGACACGGATATATCAACAAGGACGGCCGGATCGGACGCTCGAGGTTCGTAATAAGGATTATACTCACGATTTCTAGTAACAGTGTTCCCAAGGAGCCGGCAAAACACACGGTGTGCTGATTGCTGATCATTCACTTGAAAGAGTTCCCCCTCTCACGATTTCTGTATGTCCTGCTGGCTAGAAACCTGTCCCTGCTGTCGGCCTCCTGTTCGGCTACCCGAAGCTAGTGTGATATGTCTTAAGATCATTCCAATAGATTCCTGGGCGTTCTCCGAGATGTTCGCGCAAGCTTCCTCGATTGGGTGGAAGAGTGGGTCGATCAGATTGAATCGTAAATCTGTCCCTTGGGGACGATTCAAAAAGAGCCGCGCTCCGAGCTTACTGCTACAGCACTGTCGTGCCATCGGGTTGCCGGTCTAATCGGCAATGGTTTGACCAACCCTTGTAGATGGCAAGAATAAGAGCTCTTCCCGATTTCCCATCAAGCCGCTCGTTGGCTCCAACGACCGAGCTTCCAAGGTCGTGGGTTTGGTCGTTTCAACTTGATGTCAGTCTAGAGACACATCTTACAGGTGAACCTGCCGTAGTCTCGGGAGGTTCCCTATCCTTTGATGGCGAGGAGGAGAGCCCCCTCGACTGTCATCGAGTTGCCCTTGACGAGTTCACGCAATGAAGAACGGACGAAACGGAGGCGGACGAGATGGGGGCACGAGAACCTATGATATGACTCGCATCATCATTACGTCTTCGCTTTACATGTGAATATCATCCTCGTCTGCACAGACGTCGAAGATCAACCTCTTCGAAGACCGAAATTTCATAATTTTTCATGATTCATAATTTTTAGCCTGCCAAGCTTATGTGCGTACGGTACGGAGGTACACCGGGAGGAATTCTCCCAAAGATGTCTTCGGGCGATTCTATCTGATCCCGTTTTTCCTCTTATGGCCGGAGTTTGGGGACGAATCTTCCAAACTGGTCCAGAAGCGCCAGCGGCGAATCCGCCGAGGGGGAGGGCGGTCAATGCATCGGGGGCGGTTCGGGCTCCGTGTGCTCCTTCAACATGGGAAGTATAGGCAGTCGGAACCCTCGAGAGGAGGGGTGATCGCCCTTGGATCCGCCTTTGAGCAGCGCATTCCACACATTGGAAGCCCGGAGCTCAAAGGTGCTTCGGAAGCTTCGGTCTTGTTAAGTCAACTTACACTCAGTCTCGAATTTTACGGACGACGTTTCGAAGAAGCATCGAGCCAGATTTCACCATTCCTGTGCAATTCAATTCGGCTCGAGTATAGAGACCGCCGTCACCCGCAGGTTCGTGAGAGGGAACCGGTGAGGATACACGAGTCCGTCATTACAATGAACGATGATCCGATGTTGATCTCACATCAAAACCTTTTATTTCGTCGAGCTCGCGAGTCCCTGTGTGGGGTCAGAGTTTCATCGAGCTTGATTTCAAATTCGAACGAACGCTGCTTATGGCCGACTCTGGGTCGCTTAGGCTCTCCCATTTTCGACTCAATCGATAAGGAGTCAAGTGAAGGTTAGATCACCGATAATATTGGTTGCGTATCGGCTCTCTTCGTCGCAATCAACATGGCAAACGATGCTCTCGTGTCGTGGGGTGTTGGTTAGATTCCTCTCTGCGACCAGAGCAGAGAGCAGATCTCGTTCCAATCGCTCTGCGATCCTCTCGATGCAGCAGTCATCCGAGAGAAGGAAAGACTATGAACGCGACCTCAGCCCTTGCGAGGGGGAGGATTCCTCTCGACTATCCCCATCCTTTGATGTTGTCGATGTAGCATTGCGCGAAGTCGAGCCCAAGAACACGATGGTGATGATGTTGGCTCAGTCAGATTCTCCGCTGCCGGTATCGCCATTTTTTCCTCCAAGGTCTCCGCTCGAGGAGAGGAGCTTGCAATAGTCGACGAGGAGTCTCTCTTCGAAGTTTCAGAACACAGAGCCCGTGATTGAGGTACGCGGCTACTAATCGGATCCCAAGTCGCTTCGCAGAACATCGACACGAAGATTGCTTCATTGAAGAGTAAACTGGACGTGCAGTACAACGTCGAGTCTCATCCATTATCCTGCACTAAGCAGCTCGGGTCGTTAGCAGTCGGAGCATCGAAAGGGAATCGAGGCGATTCGCTGGAATCTCAAGATTGGGACCGATAGAGATTTGCCGAAGCTCTCGCGATAGACTGGAGACGTGAGCGGCCGATCACTCTCTCATATTACTAAGCAAGTATCGCGTGGGAGCTCATTTTAGTCGATGAACTTCTGATCATTATCTTTGTGGACATTTCCAGAATCGATCGACTGTTCAGGAGTAGGAATGGATGGCCTTGCATAATCGTCGCGTCCATGTCATCCAGAAGTGACCCAACCTTTTCCCCGATGGGGGCCTATCGATGAGCCCTCTCGAATGGATCTTTTTGTGAGAGAGTCCATGTATCATACCTATGGAGACATTTACGTATGTAGGCTTTTGCAAACGCTTTTGTAGGTAGAAGAATGTCGGCATTATCCAGATAGCAAGCGCGATACCCAGGCCACAGCTCAGGAGCGTCCATCAGCTAGGACGCGGAGGACGTATATTCGCTCTTGAAGCGTTTGCTCTCTCAGTGAGACTTTCCCATCGCGGTATCCTGAAACTCGATTCCGAGAACTCTAGGGCTGCATTTTCCTGGAGCAAAGATCATCATCATCGTCGTCTGGCGGAGCGGTCTGCTAGCGCTGACGAACGAAATTCACATTCCGATGATTTATAGCGTCTTAGTACTTCACATTTATCGCCAACATCCCGAAACCAATACGGGAAATCATCATCCCATCTTCGAGCGGAATATAATCCGGAAATAACTTGCGTTTGGCAGTCGACGCTGATTCTCGTAGCGCTCCCGGGATTTGGCGGGTCCGAGCGCCGCAGACGTAAACAAGCAAGGGATCAAGGGGTGACTGTTGCTGCTACCAGTCCCGAGGAAGCGTTGTCTAATCGCTAGTCTCACTCCAAGTTCTGAATCGGATACTTTAATAAATTCCCAATCGGCTCAACGTGACGTCAAGTGAGTAAATGTTTTCGCCGCATCTTCCTGATATATTGCTTTTCTCGATGCTCTCTGTTCGAGATTATTGTCGGCTTTTCTTTGGCGCTTCGAGTAGGCCTAGGTGGCGGACAAGCGTCATTGATCATCGTGCTTCATTCATTCTCTTGAAAGTCTTAGGGATGGGTTCACATTCCGGACTATGTTTCAATTCCTTGAGCATCGTAGAAAAAATATGTTTGGAAGTCCGTTGTTTGCGTTTCGTTATTTGCCGGCGGTAGATTCTCGTTTTCGCGAGCACGGGTCGTCTGATTGAGTGAGTGTTTGGAGGCGGAGGAGGAGAGCGGCTGCAGACGCGATCGCTCCGCTCAGTCGCACTCGAATGCTCATAAAAGCGCCAGCTCTCTTGTAGATTTCATTGTTTGTGAGTTGTCTCGACCCGTTCGTGTTCTATTCTGTTCGGTTCCTCTCAGGACGAGAGAACTACAAATCGTCGGTCAGCAGCATTTCTTCAACAGTCCTCCTTGTGTCACAGGTTAAAAATGTCTGCCCGAGTTTTCGTTGGACACCTTCCACGTAAAGTGGACCGCAGAGATATCGAAGATTATTTCGACCGCATCGGTAGGATCCGCGACGTAGTTCACAAAGGGAACTACGCATTCGTAGAGTTCGCAGATGAACGTGACGCCCGAGATGCCATTTCTGAACTAAACGGTAAGTCTTCGCAGGAAGGAATGCCTCCCACCGCTCTCGTAGATCTCCTATTCGCGAGCTTGAGCTCGACGTTGCTGAGACTTCCGCTTGGAATGCGGAATATCGTGAATAGAAGAGCTACGAGGTGGCGAGCTTAGGGGAATAGAGACGCGGACGAATAGGACAAAGTTGATGAAGATGTTCGTGTATTCTCCGGTCCATGGAACGAATATTTCTTTCTGCTAAGGAAACATTTTCTCTCGCTATTCAGGTACATCTTGGAAAGGCGAACGCATCATCGTGGAGCTCGCCAACCGGCGCCGCCGGAGCAGGAGTCAATCTGGCGATAGACGGGGCAGAAACCCACGCAGGAAGCCCGGTCGTATCACAAGGTGGGTATCGGAGTCCAAATATTCGCAGAGGCTCAGGTGCCCCCGGATTCGTCCGCATTCTTGGGCGCATCAATCGTCGCCGAAGTATTGAGCATGAGGACGCTAGCGAAGTCCTGACTCTCTACATGATCATTTTTAGGGGACCTCCTCGTCGCACCGACTACCAAATATCAATCAAGAATCTGAGCACTCGGGTATCCTGGCAGGTACGTGTCGTAAATTTTAGGATGACCAGCTGTTTTCTCCGCGTAACCTGACAATGTTCTATAGGGAATTAAGCCCGAAATTCGACGATAGCGAAACTATGACACCTGTTTCGGCCATCTCCCGGTGAATGTACACGATCGATCGCTGGCTCTCTCGGTCCCTCGCTCAAGTGTCCGTCCGATCTGCGTGCTTTGCTGGACAGCAGCAATCGAGCGATCAGCGATACTCGGAGCCGAATTCCGTCATCAGTCTTCGTCCGCCTACCGTTGAACCGTTGGTCGATTTGCCCTCGGGAGCTCACCGGCCGTGTCTGAGTTGCGAGCGCCGTCGAGCAGCATCCGTGAATCCGGTCCGCTTCGGGAAATAGCACCGGAGCTAGCGTCGACGTGGCTTCGGGACCGGGACGTCTACCAGTCAGTCTTCTTCAATAACCTCTTCGGAGTTGAAAATTAGATTAACACGATTAGATGCTTGGTTGGCGAGTGCCGCATGGTACGAACGTTGATGATATTCATGATGATGATATTCATAGTGGTTCGTCGGTCAAGGATTGTTGAGCCGTATTTTAATTTTCATCTCCTGTTGGCCGTCAGATGATGTGATATTTCTGACAAACTGTCTTTTTTCATTCTAACTCTCCAGCCGCGTTCGATAGACGTTGGCCTAGTCGAGTCTGAGGCAGAGATCTGGCGATGATTTACGATCGATCGAACGGGGAACCGTGTTGGTCATCTCGCAGTCGTCACATCTGCAAGATACGCTCAGCCGCCGAGAAACCTGGCCGTGTTCTGAAGCCGGCTCCGGGCGAGGGTGCACTGGATGCGTGCAATCAACGGAATGGTCGACGAAGCCGCGTCTTGCCGGCAGACTGTCTCGCGGATCGGTTGCTCGCACATTGATCGGTGAATCAATCCGTCTGTAGGAGCTTCGGGCTGTCGGTCGGACTATTGCTCAACCCCAAACAACTGCTGGTTGTGGACTCGAACTTGTTCGGCTCCTCCGTTCGTATCTCCGCACGCTCGTCTTCGGTCCGTTCCTTGGTTGGGCGGCTTTCCCTCGTTCTGGTTCTGGAGACAACTTCGACTGACGGATTCGAAATGGACTCGAGGTGGACACTCGCTAGATAGTCGCTGTCGCTCGGGATGACGATGAGGTGTTAGGCATCGAGAAGAGAAACTGACGAACTCGCAGGATGCGAATGAATAGACAACCGAGGCAGCGAACCTCAAAGATCGGGAACTGGTGGTGTCCGGACCGGTGGCTAGATGCGAGACAGGGTCGCAGTGAACGCATAGAGCTCACGGGCACTCTGCCTTCCAACCTCAAAGGTATTCACACGCATACGACAACTGCAAAATCAACTTCTGTCGTTTGTTGGTTGCGCGTTAACCTGTGAAAGATCTTGCGAAATTCCCACGACATACATATAACGAAAAACACGATTCAATCGTCACGAAACACTCCCCATGAGTCACTCTACTCGGATAACTCTCCCTTTCTCGTAATATTTCGAACTGTCCCGAAGTTCCAATTCAATCACACCGTTGATAGGAGAAAACAAAGGAGAAAAGAAACAAATGAAGAGCACAAGTGTACTATGTCGTCGATGTCACCTCCTATATCTCTCAAAAGGACGACTTCGGCAGATGTCGGATAGGGAACAGACTTGAAAGTTTCGCTAATATTTCGTATTCGTCAATTCCCATATCACTAATTCATATATCCTCTGCAGGATCTCAAGGATATATTTGGTGAAGTCGCCAAGGTTGTGTACGCCGATGCCCACAACAAAAGAAGAAATTATGGGTAAGCGAGATTCGATGTTCTCCCCGGTGCTCGACTCGGTGGACACCTTCCAATCGAACCCCAGTCTAATCCATTTCGATTCTTCCCTTCTCAGCATCGTGGAATTCGACACCAAGGAAGAAATGAATCGTTGCTACGAGAAATTCAACGGAAAGTCCTTTAACGGACGTAAGATCGAGATGGAGCTTAACGTCAAGACTCGGCACTCTTCTAGGTCACGGTCTCGCTCCCGCAGATCAAGGTCACGATCCTCTCGCAGTCGATCCAGGTCCCGCTCCCGGAGCTCTCGTCGCCGCTCCCGTAGTGGATCCGAGCGATCTCGCAGCCGGAGCCGATCGAGAGACCGTAGATCTCGCTCACGCGAAGACAATCGCGAGAAGTCGAAGAGTGTCGAAAAGAAAAGAGAAAACCGCTCTGAGAGTCCCCGAAAGGACAAAGACAGATCGGCAAGTCCTGACGGCATTAAGCGCTCCCATTCTCGATCGAAGTCCGCTTCTCGTTCAAGGTCGCGATCTCGTTCCGCCGGCCAAAAACGATCGCGATCGCCCTCTGCCGAAGAAGATCGTAGATCCCGTTCGCGGTCAAGGAGCCGATCACCAAAACGAGCGCGATCCGACAGTCACTCCCCGGCTCCTAATGGGAAAGACAGGAGCCGATCTCGAAGCTCATCGGTCGGAGCATCTCCGGGTCGGCGAGATGCGAACGACGTGAGTGCCTCCCGAGACTCGATCGAAGTCTGATTTCTCCTCCGAGTCTCAATCTTCCTCAAGGAAACCTCGAACGGACCAGCGAACTCCACTGACCTTCGCGCTTCTTATTGCAGGATGGGGATAATTCTGCCTAGGAGGAAAACTATGGCAAGTTTGAGACGGAAGAAGCGAACACCAGCGAGAAACGACATCGCAACCGAGTCGACCCCAACGGCATTATATGCGCTTTTCTTTTCTTTCCTTTCCCATCCATTTCTATTCCAGCTAAACAGCTATCAGTATCACCCCAACCATGTCGTTATACAATGCGAACCAATAAAACAAAGATTCGGCATCTTTCCTTCTGAACATCGAAGGTTCCCTCACTACCTCGCTCGAACGTCATCCTAGAAGACGTTATCCGTTTCCTTCTGAACATCGAAGGTTCCCTCACTACCTCTCTCGAACGAATAAATATCCTAAAAGCATCTCTAAATCGATAGATCACGGCTTGTCCCAGCTCGCCGCTCTGAACGCGAAATGAAGACTCTGCGCTTCTGATCTAGGAATTTTGTGTTTTATTCATTTCAAACGCACTAACAAACGAGCGAACCTTGCTCAATGGTAGCGGTGATCCTGCAATGATCTGACCGAGCGGAGTCGGGCGAGCGGAGCTCACTTCGTCGACTGCTTCAAGTAGGCGATCAGATCCGCGCGGTCTTGGGGTTTCTTAAGACCAGCGAACACCATCTTCGTCCCGGGAATGTATTTTTTCGGGTCGAGCAGATACTCGAAGAGGGTGTCCTCACCCCAGGTGATTCCCTTGGCCTGGTTCGCGGCGGTGTAAGAGTATCCGGCGGCCTGGCCAGTTTTTCGACCGAACAGTCCATGCAGATTGGGTCCTACTTTGTGACCGGCTCCTTTGTCCACCGTGTGGCACTGGGAGCATCTTTGCACGAATATTTTTTTCCCTTTCTCAGCGTCGCCACTAGGCACGGCGGACTTCGCTGCAAAATGTAGAACTCTTAGTTCAGGGAGCTTCACCCGAATATGTATAAGCCCGATTGGTTCTCCAAGCGATTCGGCACTCCTCCGAATGCTCTGCCTTTCATGTGAAACAGGACGACAATGTATGACGTTCTGGTAATACTATTGCGAGGAAAAAGGAGCTGGCTACTTGATGGCCAATTTCGAAATCAACCGAGAGCTCCGGGCTGCTGATGAAATTTCTGATTGCCCGAAAACCGAAACCCACGTTTTCGCGCTCGCCCATGTGAAACAGCAGGTCAATAATAAGCGCTTTAGAGTTCAGCAGTCTTGATTCACTCACCATGAACCGTGAAGAACATCTTGAAGGAAAGGATTGCTATACGGAGCTCGATGAATTTTCCCGAACGTCAGTTCACCTCCTTCGACTGTCCTGAGTCCTCGGATGAACGCATTCTCATCCTCAGCCCCCGATCCCCCTCGCATCCTCGAGGGGTAGACTAGCGCGATTCCGCTCTGTTTCCACGCCGAAGCGGTGTCCCCTCATCGATGATCATGGCGAGAGAGCTGAATCCATCGGGAGCCGGTTCCAGGATTCTCATTGGATGTCACAGCCTCCCGGGAATCGAATTAGAGTCTGGGCACGCTTGAGTGTGGGGCAGCGCCCCAAAGGCGGCAAACATTCGAATCATTCTCCCCGTCTAGAATCCATTACGGCATATTACTCAGATTTAGTGCGGAGGAGCTAGATTGAAACGATCGCGAGCTTTTCTCTGAGCGTTTTCGAGACCCCGCCGAAGACCCTCTCCTTACTCAGGCGGTAGCCCCACATCAAAGAAGGCCGTGAGCGGCGCGCTTCTCAGTATGGAAACACTCACATCCGAATTGACGGGGAAAAAGAATTTGGTCCGCTCAGTTCGCGTCAGCCCGTCAGCCGAGGATCGTTCTCGTCGAATGGGTCGATGGCTTTGGTGTGCCTTACAGTAGACACCTTGTCCCTATATCGACTATATGTATACCTGTATCTCCGAAATCACTAAAAGACGTTTAAGATTTCGCCCCAGGATGAAGCGCGAGTCGGTGTTTTTTCCTTCGTTTCCGGGAACTGGGAAGTCCGGCGTACGATTCCTCCTCAAATTCTTAGGGGAAAAGTCTTTTTGTTCGGCGGTATTCCTCGCCGATTGAGCTCCGGTGTTGTCTTCATGTTCAAGCTGTTCGTACTAGCAATCTTTCCCCAATTCCAATAGCAGGCTGCAAAGTGATTCCTCCTTATGATTCGCAAGCTCCTGAGCAACGTAGGTTATCTAGACTTATTTAGACAAGCGCGTTTCGACGTTCAAGATGGGTTGTCGATTCCATCCCGCTTTCTCTCATCGAGCTTGACCGATGTGGGGCCTTCCTTCTATTCCGCCCTTGAGTTCTGGAGTAACCGATCCATTGCCGTCGACAGAAGCGTATCCGATCCACACATCGGAATAGGCTCGTGGTATCCTCGGATTTGGGCAAATATGAGCGGCTTCAGTCAATCGAACGAGACGCCCCGATGCAAAACGTCTTCCAGCAATGATCATCGTCATCACCGTCGAGAGGACACAGATGTGGGAGTAATTACCGTCTGCGCGGCGGACTGCCCGCGCGAGCATCCATGAAAGGAAATAAAATAAGGATGTAAGGCGGATTCCCGCGCTCAGAATAATGCGTCCGCGTGCTCCAGGGAATCCGAGGGTTAATGTCCTTCCCCCTAGATGCCTGGCTTCCAATGCCAGACCCGGGGAACGCCAAGGAGCGCGTGATCAGCAACATCGCGCCTCCTAGTCGCGCAGCATGTTCGAATCAGAGGTCCCGTAGAGACTCAACACTCGACGCTCCCTCTTGGAGAAATTTACACTTGTACGAGCTGACGACGAGACGGAGCCGCGATTTTTCATCCTATGATGTCAGTCTAATCAATTGGAATCTCTTTCCTGACTCGAGCGATGGCATGGGAGGAATGACTGACCGCGCAGCCGGGCTCAATACGAAGCGTGAGATTGTTCAAGACTCGAAAAAATCAACAAAGGACCCTGATCAGGACGCTCAGCCCTAGCGCCGAGAGTATCAGCTGTCGGCGGGGATACCGATGCAAGGTTTTGTCCCAGACACCCTCCTGAGATCAACTCATGCGACACGATAGTATGACGCCGTTTCCGTGTCTCGCGGAATCGGAGAGCTTCGTCTGCGAGACATATCTTAAGCTTCCTAAGTGTTCATAGCGGAGAGAAACCTCTCACGTTGATCGAGTGCCCGCACGATTCTCAGCGAAAATCAACCCCGCGGCGTATCTGTTAAGCAGCACCGGAAAACTCATTATCTCTCGCAAGGAGCGCTTACTTCCCCAGCGGCGAGGAGCCCGACGCATGCGACGAGTGACGGGTGCAAGGAAAAAAATTCCGCTCCATCCGGTCGCACAGCTCGCAAGAGATGGCGCATCAACGAGAAGCTCGTCGTTCGCCTATAGTGCGGGAGAGATCACCCTGAATTTAATTCTCGACAAATCCTGGCGAAGAACCATACGCTGATTGTAGTGGAGAGTTCGCTACGATGGAGAGCCGAACTCGCCTCCGGTGCCTACGATGCGGAGAGATGCCTCGCTTGAGGCGAGTGTGGGAAGAAATCCTCCCGGAAGGCTCCACTGAATCGTCATCTGAAATTGCCTGAAAAATACTCCATTCGCTGGCAAGAATCCCGTGGCAACATTTGCTTCCGTCGTCAGGAAGTTCGGCTGTACGGTCTAGACCGGGAAAACTTCTACAACTCTCAAGGCGACCCGCGCTCCGGATTAGAGCCTTCGGTGCCATTGAATTTCTGAGCACTCGTAGTTGACTTGCCCAGTAATGTTCTACATCGTTTAGGATGTAAAGAGAAAGAAGCCCCAACTCGATACTGTGAAGTTTCGTTTCAACTATTTAAAACCGTTTTGACATTTTCACGCGAATTTTCACTACAAGGAACTTATTTTCCCACGCGCTCCGGCTGGCGTGCCATGGGAAGAATGGGGGACATTCATTGCACGACCGGACTTGACCAGTCCCGGGCGCTTCGTTGTAATTCTACTGCAGCATGAAAAATCTAGTCAAGCGTGTCTGCTTCCCGCTCGGGAATCGGGAATTATTGAGGCAAGAATCCTTGCCGCCCTCAAACAGTGCCTTTGAGAATCGAAATTATTTCCGATACATTACCCAAGCCCTGTGTTGTGTCCGGCTGTGTTGACGGTACACATAGAATGTCGAATAGTGGCGGTGCGTTCATTGCTGCAAGCGGTCTCCGGCGGGCCGAATGAAGGTCGCTGTCGGCGTTCACAGTTCACAGGATACCGTCTTGCTTTCACGGGGGTTGGAAAACAGTGTGTTCCTTCGATTCAGTAACAACGGCTGTCGAGAAGCTCGCGGGTGCAACTTCGGATGGAAGAAGCTCGTCTGAAGCTCATTTATAAGTCATGATTCATGATCCATGAATAACCCATAGTCATCATTTAGGACCTAATTATATTTATGTCCTTCGAACCTCCCTGTTTCGAACAATGAGAGACAATTATACCGAATGAGGATCTCGCATCGCAGACGATGGAGCACGCTGGTGAGATGTAGCATGTTGGATAGGGTATTTTTTGACAAAAGATCCGAAACGAAAATTCCCGGGCCGATTATCGAAGAGATTGATCGAATCGCTCAAGATATCCGAATGTTGTTGTTGCACACATGCTCGGAAGATCGAGCATTTTTGCTCTAATTTTAGCTCTCATCGAGACTCCTGACAGAGTCTCGGAACCATGTCCATGATAGTAAGTCCGTCAAGAGGGTTTGCCCATCCTAATATGAATTTCTGAATCGCTTCAATCGATCGTTAGCATCCAGTTGATCTTCAATGAAGCTCCAGGAGGCAGCAGTGAGAGATGGGTCTAGCCTCAGGGAAGTAAGAGTCCTCGAGATGGATCTAGAATTCAGCCGCTTCTAGGAGTCGCGACAAACTGGTTTAACGGATTCAGAAAACCTGAGTCCGAACCCCCTTCAACAGACAGCTGATGAGAGCTCCGGCGTTCGAATCTGAGCGCCTACACTGGCGGCGCTAAGAGCGGCGTAGGTTCGGTCTGTGTCTTTAGCGCGTGCAATTCAGCAGCAGCAGGGCCGTGCGTGCTGCTGACAGTGTGTTTACAAGGCGGCCATCTTGATTTTCCCAATCAGCTGCTGAGCCGAAGCTGTTTCCTCCACTGAAACTCTCTCTAGTACGTGTCTCGCACGACGTGTAGGAGCCCGTACGTCCGGCGTACGCGGGCTTGCATTTTTGCGGGGTGTGCGTTTCGGTGGGATTTTCTGCATCGTTTTCTGTTGCATTTCATTAAGTTTCCTGGGGTTCTCCTAACCAGGTGAAGGTTCTCCAGACTGTCGACCGTGTCTCTGAGGATAACCAATCTGTGCGTCCGGCAGTGCTCACGTCCAACGCTTCAGGCTGGAGCTCCCGGTCCTCATTGGGAGATCCCGTCAACAGCTGCAGGGTGTGCGCTGCCTAAGCTGAAAGTTCCGGGTTCAATCCGGAAGTTCCCACCAAGGTAAGAGACGACATCAGGACGAGCCCGCGATGCTGATATCTCGATCGGTAGTGGTTCTAGTGTACAGTCACCACTCCTTTTACGGCAACTTATCGCTCAGTACCAGAAGACCTTAGAATCAGAGACAGAGTTGCTCCGGTGCGGAAACGGCTCCAAATAGCCCGAATTTGAGGCTCGCCAGCGCTTCAGGTGCAGCTAAAGCGAAGCTGATAATTTCCTCACTCACTATCTAATTGTCCCGACATTCTCCACTCATGGCAGGATCGTTCAATGCCGAGCCTGTAGCAGTAAGATCGATGTCTCACTTCGGACAGAGTGCAAAAACGGGTCAATGTCAGCAGGAGCTCGATTTCCGGGTTTTGAGTACAGAAGTCTCCGTCAGACTGTTCGAGGTTCACGCTCGCACCGCGCTGGGCGAACTCCGTGTAAATTGGTGACTTTCAAGGGTCGTGCGTTTATGAAGTATGTCGATCGACTTAGTCCTAGGTCAGAAAAAAACCCGTCCGGTTCCCAGCACGCTTGGCCCACAAAGACTGCGGATGTGGGTCACGGCTTCCGAGAGGCTCTGTACCTGAGTGTTTAATTTCAAGAGCCAGAACTATCTTTTTTTGTTCTGACCCTCTCTGAATCCTATGAGAGAATTCGGGGACACGGGACGGCAAGAACTTTCATTACGTATGATTAAAACTCATGATAGCGATCCCGGCTCATGTCTTGTGTTTACATTCTTCCATTGTATTACCACATTAGCGACCCTGATTCAGAGACGAGTTTTCTCAGCAGATTTTCCTTCTCTTCGAGCCGAGTGATGAGCTCCTGTCTCACGAAGAGCTGAGCGGCCCCGTACGCGCGGAACTCTAGGTGCCGCGCGCTCGATTCCGTGGACCACAGAAAAACGAAACTTGGGGGAATTGTGCCCGTCCCGGGTTGCTCAAGAGGGATATAACGGGGGGGGTTACCTGATTTTGAAAAAGCCAGTCATGGGTCAATCCCATAGAAGTCTACATGTCCACCTCCCATGACTAGTTATCGACCACGATGTTATGACCTTAGGCCTCCTTGGTCCATAACAGGTGCAAGGCCCGAAACCGGTCCCCCCTTCCCCTACTCGCTTTCGTGGAACTCAATCTCATTGGCTTGTCTGCCTCAAAGGCTCATACTCATAGATACTTATGATGACTAGGCGATGACTCCTTCATCACCTCTGCAGAAGAGCGAAATGATTAAATTGTTCTCTCTCCAACGATTCCGGGTTCTTTGTCCTCCAGGAAGCCTCCGGGATATGGCACTCCGGGAAGACTTCTCTGCCATGGCCCCGACGGCGCCGTACCCCGTGGGACTAGTGGGGGCTCCTCAAGGAACTGCTTTACCTCCTCTACCTATTCCGCTCCATATACCGTTCGGTGCACCTGCTTTCCACATGCCACCTCGCCAGTCCCACCGACAGAATCATGAGGGGTGAGTGTATCGAGAGCTTTCCGAGCCTTGATCCCATTCCCCGGGGCTGAGCTCTTCATCAGGAAAATCTATACATTCCAGACGTGTGGCCTACGCTGGTCCCTCTGACATGGCCGCTCTCGAGGAGTTTCAAAAAAGGCGGAACCTAGAGCAGCTGGAACTGTCTCGTTTGTCGAAAACCGCTTTGGCCAGTATGGGACGAGACAGGGAGAAGGAACGCCAAATCAGCGTTCGATTCCGAGAACGAATTTACGAGCTATATGTCGGATACCTCGGCTGGCTCCAGGAACAGCAAGCTCTTGGTCGAGACGAAGACACCACCTCGGGCTCCGGAAAACAGAAGAGGCATCATCTCGAGGAGCTGGTGACGGATTACCTTTGCCAGGTGCTGCAGAAAGAGAAATATCATTTAGGACTGAGTTTCGAACTCATTCTGCGACACACTATCGAACGCAAGGGAACACATTTCGATCCTTTGAGGACTGCCGAGGCCTTCCGATCGCTAGAGAAATATGCGTGTAATCTATTGGTTCAACCGTGGAGAGAAGAGTTCAGACGGATCAAGGTGAGCCTCGACTTGGGAGCGAATCAGATACTTCGTCGATTCTCTCGTTTCATCGATTCTCTCGTTTCATCGATTCTCCCGGAATATTCTCGATTCTACTAACTAAGCGCCTCTTCTTCGTCATCCAGCTGTACGGCGGCTTCTACAAACACAAGATAGAAAGACATCTATGTCAACCTGAGGCTGTTCTCGAACTGCTCGGTTATGTACGACAAGGCAATTCCATGATCCTGCCCCTGAAACCTCTGGATCCAGACGAGGTCACCTTCGTGGCGCTGGACTGTCTCATCGCGAACGTCGAATGCAAAGTTCTGCTCTTATTGAGGAGTGGAATCAGACACTTCGATAACCGTTGGATGGATGTCTATAACACGCGGTGTCAGTTGTATGGGGCGTCAATCGCCGAGTGTGCAATTGTGCTCACCCATCAGTACGAACAAAAGTTGCACTCGCAGCGAGCTCTCGAATCAATGTGCAAAGAAATGGAGAATATGGGTTATGGATCGAGGTCGCGCGATAAAGTGCAATCTCCTCACGGCCCCCAACGGAAACCAGCTCGACTGAAACCCGGACATGGCAGTTGCGCTCCAACAGATGAAGTCGACAGCCGACAGTGAGTGGGGATGTTCTGTGCGTGATATTCACAGGCGCCGTACATCGATCGTCATCACTGAGGCTTTCTCTCTACCCCCAGTTATCGGAACGAACCCCTGCCGTCGAGTGAAGACTACCACCGACAATATCGAGAACCCGGCATGACATCTGGGAGCTCGGGCAAAGCTTCACGGAGTCAAGCACCTCTTCGAGACCCCCAACCCAATCTCATGTCTCCACCTACACCGACTCAGCAATCTTCCAGAGATGTGAGAATTTTTCCCTTAGCTCGTCCATCTTCTCCCTGTTTCCCTCCGGCTCTGTGCCTCCGGACCGGATTCGGTCACCCGTTGATCGAGCTTCCCAGTCCTAAGATGTCACGTCAACCATGGACAAATTGGGACGCCATCCTCTGTTTTCATTTTGTCGCATGAAAAATGCTCGGCGATTCTTGTCAGACGCATTGAGCTGCTTCTTCCTTTCCCAGATTGGACCCATGCCAGCGTCGAATTCTCGAGGAACCAATAATTACAAGCTTTTAACGCCGACATCGCTAAATGGGACTGCATGCCCGTCTTCGTTTGCAATGCCGAAATTAGGGCCGTCTCCGACGCCTCCCCCAGGAAACTCAACGGCGCACTTGTGAGTACTAAGCTACGATTCCCTACCTTGAAGCGATTGGTTGAGCTCATCGGCTGCATGATTTCACTTGCCCCGAATCCGCGGCTTCCAGGGCTGTTGGAGGAGCTCCGCGGGAGGAGGAGAAACCTAGAAGGCCGGAGAGAGGAGCGTATTTCGAAAGAGAAGAGACTCTCAAGCCGAATAATCACAAAGACGTAGCGACTCAATCTCTAGGTGAGCGGAACTTATCCAGCCTCGAACAATAATAATAATGATCGGGCACCGACCATGGGACAATCTCCCTGAGAGTCTCGATCCAGTCGCAGTAGAGTATGGTCCGAGTCGCGTTTTTTTGCAGAATCACCGGAAGACGGCTCGTGGTCGTGTAGCATTTGCACTTTTCTGAATGATCCTCAAGCGAACATCTGTGTGATGTGTTCAAAATCTCGGAATCAGCAAATTCGGTCGGCGGCCAGCGAAAATCTCGTGAGTCCGCAACCCCAAACGGATTCTCTCTCATTCGAGGGAGAATCAACCTCGAATTTATCGCGGAGACTTTGGCGGTCGTCAATGAGAGATTACTCGTGAACAATTCACAGACGATCTTCCAATTTTCCACAGGTTTCAGGAGGTCGGGAATGTCCGTCTTGTACCCTGATAAATCCCAAATCTGCCGTACGCTGCGAAGCCTGCAATGCTTCGCTGATGAACTCGCCAACTTATATTTGAAGAATCTGTCGAGTTCGAGTCAGGGATAATACTCGTCGACTTCAGGAGTCAGCTTTAGTCGATTTGTTGCCTAAATGATACGCGTGACTGTAGAGTTCGCACCATAGGATTTCAAAAGAGCGAATCGTGATATAATTCTGAAGTTCTTATCTTCCGTTGTGAGCACTGCACTCGATAATCTCATGAATAGGGATCGAGGGCAGGTAACCCACCACATGTGAATTATTTCGTCCAGAGTCGAGCTCAGACTGATCAATCCAGTCGGGAGTCATCCGTTTCGTTTTCGACCTTAAGTCTCACATCTCGATCGGATAAGCCTGTTGATTCTGAATTGAACTTCTCCCGATAGCGTAGTACTAGCATAAGCGTGGGAGGTGGCTCCCACCGGAGTTATTGTCGTTGCCTTAATCAGCTGGACGTTCTTCAAGACAGATTGCTGCTTGAACGGAGAGATCGATCGCGAATCTCCCTGCAGAGGGCAATTCATGTTCGTAGATGTTGGGCGTTCGCTGGAAGCGGGAGCTAATCAATTGTTGTTTTCCCTCCGATCGAACCTGCCTGGTTTTTTTAAAAAACGGACCCCGATGTCCGCGACTTTTGTTCGTTATCCAGTTCCTATTTTTATCGAGCACAAACATCCCTTCGAAGCGTAATTCTTTGTTATATTAAAATGAGGTCGCTGAGGATGACCCAGTAACGAGGAGGGTTCACATCAGTAATGTCTAGATAGACGGTACCTGAATCGGCGAGGGTGTTGCCGTCTCGGATGTATGTCTGTCGTGGAAATACCTCACTTTAGAGCGAGCTCAACAGCGGGGGCTGTGGCCTGACACTTGATTGTGCGTCGGATCACGTGTCTTGGATCCGAAAGGGATCGGTTTATTTGATATTTATAACGGATGGGTCAGCCGGAGATCTTGTCTCAAGAGGAAAATTCGTGAAGAATCTGCCAACGAATCGTATTGTACCCCTGAACTGGTCACATGTATCGCCGAGCGATTTTGCCGTTTACAGAGAACTTGTTTGTATGATATAGTCGGGTACGCGAGGATTCTTTCGGAAAAAACGAAATACGATGAAACATTTGCGGGACTCATTGGTGATGCTGGAACAAACCCGGAATAAAGCTGTCAAGATGACTCTCTTCGTTTCTATGTGTTTTTCTTCGGAGAGGAAGCAGCATCGGCCTGCGGACAACCCGTTGGACGATGAGCCGACGGGGGAGGGGGGCTTTCCGTCTCAATATTGCGAGAGAGCGAGAAATCGTTCGTCTCGATTCGACTTGAGGGCTGGATGAGACTCAGAAATGGCATCTCTGGAGGGCGGCGACCGTCAAAGAATCTCATCGACAAGGGAATACAGCTCCAGATGCGGTAGTCAGGTACTCGCGGTGTTACGGAAGCTCCCCGCTTCCGATTGGGCCTTCAAACCGCAGCCGTGTTAAACTTGCGAGAGTATCCGACCGACTCTCTTTTCATCTCCCCGACAGTGTTCCGCGTCTTTCGGACACCGCTGATGGAGCTTTCCCACAAATTGATATTCTGCATGCGGTTTTTCTACAACGGGCGATCAGAACTTCTCGGAAGGACCGAGAGCGCTCCAGGACTGTAGTCCATGGGGAAGAGGCCGATCAAGGGATATTTTCTATAGATTCATACGACTCCTCATCGGTCCTCGTTAGCGGATCGTTCCTACATGACGAATTAATTATTATAATTAGGGTCCCAAATCGACGAAGGAACTCTATTGAGTTTTCGTCACCGTAAGATGTGGGGAACGCTACAATACGGATGTGCACTGAAATGAGATGCATCCTTCTTCAAAAGTCGGAAGATAAAAATGTCGGGAAATTGAAAACTCTAATTATTATTGAAGAAAGATCATCACTATCACTGCGGAACTCGACATACTCAGCTTCAGGACGAGGAGTTTTCATTTCGCTCGGACTGCTAATGAGGTCGCTCGGCAAACGGCTTGCTTGCCGAATCGAATTTGAATTTGGCAGAGCGCACTCCATATCTGTCAGCACCCATACTCATATTCTTACTCCGCATCAGAAAGCGGGATAAGATCCTATCATCCCCTACCGCGCACGACATCAGACAGAAAATGCCTCAGAAAGCGAATTATCATCGGAGATCAGAATGAGCGTCGTCGATGAGATATGAGATAATGAGATCCCTTCAATATGCGGAACGCCGGAGACTCGAGAGAACAACGAAATGCTCTCGACTTCGGTGGATTTCGAGTCGGTACAAGCCAATGACTCAGGACGATCTTGAAAATAATTCAGAGCGCGAGAACCCGCATCCCCTTTGCGTTCCCGTATGGACGTCCCACGAAATTCTGATATGGCCGCGATTCTACAGGCAGCTCTTCAAAATTTTTGTAGATCGTCTCACGAGCTGTGAAGAATACGGAAGTTTGCTCGAGGTAGTCAGAGATATGCGCGACGCTTATGAGTTTTCCGTGCAGGGGTACGGCGAAGATGATTTCGCGGACCTGAAAATCAGAGACATCGAAAAGCAGATGGATTCACTCTGCGGAAACGTGACCTGCTGCCTCCGAGAGGTCCGGAGCGTGCCAAGTAATTTCCACGGAAACGTCAGCATACAGCACGGGGAACAAATATTCCCCGAAGCCATCGCACTTGAGCGCGAGCCGAAGAGAAGTCAGAGAACGTTCATGGAACTTCGACCGCAATATCCGATAGTTTTCGAGTTGAGCTCCGGGCATACCTCTCAGCTGGATCCCTTGGATGTTATATGCCGGCCTCGAGCTCACGTCGAAGTGAATCTCGGAGATTCAGTCAGTATCGTCGTAGAGTTCCGGTGGGAAGGACTGCTCTCGAAGGAAGGACATGCTTGGAAGGGGAAATCCGTTTGAGTCCGCTCCGGGTGGCGGCTCAAAGATTGGGAGCCCGTGAGAGAATATAAGAAAGGAAGATCCTGCGGCTATTCGAGATCTAGAAACCCTCCGCTAGGGAGAGAGCGGAACTTGTCTAAAGCGACCTGGATTTTAATCAATACGATGACACCTCCAGTTCTGATGGATTCTCCCCAGGATTGGTTTACCAAAATATCTCGCTTTATTCACGGGTCTTTCTGTTCACAATTTTCGTTCGGCAGCTGTATATCTCGCATTGATCCATTCATGATAGAGGATTCCGTCTTGTCTGAGTCTGCCATCATAAGGTATTTTATGTACAACAAATAAATATATATTTCGCTTTAGTAGAGGGGTGAGGTACGGCTCTCGACACCCAAGTGCTCATCGTTCACCCGCTTCCAGCGGTACTCGTATCGAGACCGTCGATTGCCACTAACATACACAGGAAAAAACACCTCAACGGGGTGCAATCCTCACCCTCAATGAGAGACGATACCCAGAAAGTCGATCTGAAGTCTGAAGTTTGCTGTCCTATAAGTTTTACAAAAGTTTACGTTCAGTGCATTTACGTTCAATGCTCAAGCTTGCGTCGAAGGCAGCTAACGGTATTCACATATGTACATGTTTTTACAATGGGGAACCGACCCAGTCGTAGGTTCGAGCTCCGCGAGTAGTACACCGCTCGATGATTATCTACAGAGCTCGCAAGTTTCTATCTTTCACACTAATTCAATCCATTGAATTCGATCACAATCCAATTAATTATGTAATTCAATTTTTTTCAGCGTCGCTGTTTCTGTCACCACGTTCGCGGGCTCTTGTCATTTGCTACTGCATCGACTTCCCCGGACACCGATCAGTTGAGTGGTCTTGCCTATCGGTCTCACGATTTTCGAACACAAATGTCGTGGGCCATATAAAACGCGACAATCAATCGAGCCATACCGAGCTTTGATTGTTTCGCGCGCGCGATTGTCTCCGACTAAGTCGAACTCAGTGTGGCCGTCCGGGAGAAAGTAAGGAGTGACCGACAACATGGACACAAGGTTTTTCACATTTTCCTACAATATTTAAAACTCTATTACAAGCGGGCAGGGGGCGCAAAGCAATCATTCTCATGAGATTGCCCCCTCCCCGTCCCGTTCGGCTCGACTCGGACTAGAAAACGGGTTCAACATGAAATCTCGTCGTCCTTGAAAGTAAATTGTTGCATTCTTTTCCGTTTCCTGACACGTGCACCGAGAATCAGTGGCTACTTCCGTAGATTCCTATCAGAACGCAGCGTCAGCTGGTGCAAACCAACATCCGGAGATTGAATCCTAGGCGAGATCAGGATCGAACGTCCGTGATGAGTTTTCTCGCTAATCCCAAGTCCACGGCTTCGTCCCGCGCGGGCATAATCCGGACTTATCTTTGTACATCGCAAAACATACCAGGAGCAGCTTGCGCTGGTCTCACTGCTTCTCAACCAGTCTACCTACTTGAGCTAAAAGTTCTCCTATATTTGGTCATTGATCGAACAACACCGTCTGTGAAGAGAATATGATACACTTTCGCGCGGAGAGAGGAGCAGCCTCTGAGAAAATATTGATTGTAGCTACGGACGACCCGACAACGATTGGTCAGAGATTCAAAGGTTTCGAAAAGCTCATTGCCTCGCCCTCACGGCGGGCACGTAACCGTTCGAGCTCGGGGCAGCTCTCGACTGGTCGCTGTAGGCGACGTCGAAGGCCACGTAGTCCGAGGTTTGTGGTCGTGGAAGCCTCTCTGGCTCAGGTGAAGGAGCTCGATCCTCATCTTCATCGTCATCGCGATACTCATCTGCATCGTCGACGTCGTTGTCATCAGCAGCAGCGGGTTGAGCGATCGGCACGACCGATAGTTGCGAGTAACCTGTCGTTCTCGGTTGTTCGGGTGCCGCTGCAAAGTGCGTCGCACTCAATCCTAATTGTGTGTACGGAGGCATTGTCGAAGGGAGAATCTGTGCATTTCCGTTAGGAATCGCCTGCGGGACTGGAGCCAGACGAATTTCATTGCTTGGCGACGTCATTGCGGCATTGACGCTCGGGAGCTGTATGTCCAGTACGACCTGGGGCTCTCCATTCAGATTTGGCGATTCCAAGGAGTCTCTCGGTGCCATCATGAGAGCGTCGAGATTACTCACCGGAATCAACTGGAAACGGATACAAAATTAGATAATTTTTAAGTATCCCTTCGCGGGATTAATCTGCAGGAAGACGAATATATTGGGTGAGCTCAGATTGAGACATTGTGATGCTGCTGGAATCGACGAACAGGGAGCTCGGATTCCGCCATTACGAGACTTACCTCGTCCAAACTTGAATGAGAGCCTCCGTTGAAGGTTGAAGTCATGTGTACCTCAGCTTCCGAATGCACGCCGTTACTCTCGATGAACTTCATCTCGGTCTCCCGGCTAGGCGGGTTCTGTTTGGTGAGTTTACCCGTTTTCTTCGGTAGACGTATGGCGTTCTTTTTGGTGGAACGAAGTTCCCCTCCCATGTGTTTCGCCATCGTCGTAACCCCGAGAATGACAACGGTGAATCCGAGTGCACTTCCGATAGCGATCAAAATCAAGGTCAGAACAGACAGGCCCCGGCCTTGAACCCTAGCGCATACGGCTGCGGAGTCGGGGGCGAATTTAGTTGTAGCATTATCGATGGCGCGCAGCACCACTCGATACACTGCCCCTGTCTGGAGTTGTTCCAACATGAAGATGTCTTCCTCGGTGGAGATGGTGAAGTTATGCAGGCGACAGCTCAAAGAGAAATTGCTCGGTCTCCGTTGCTGGCATTCTTCAGCGTAAGCTAGCACGTCGTCTTCATGCTGCTCTATTGCACAGTATTCCACTTGGTATCCCGCTACGTCCTCTCGTTGGTAGCATCCCGTCTTCCATTTCAAGACAAGCTGAGTATCACCGTCGGGCAAGGCTTCGAGCTCCCTCACTTGACCAACGCGGGCTCCGGCATTCATCTCACAAATGCTCCAGACCGAGCCGGAAGTTCGTCCCCCAGCATCGGTTAGGGCAACTCCGTAGATATAGTTCCGAGGGTCGTCAACCTCAATGCGAGCGGAATCATTCCTTTCCGCGAGTTTCCTGTGGATTTCGCCTCGACAACGCCGTTTATCGAAACTTTCGCACCAGTACACGTCGGCGCTCAGAGCTCCGAGTTTCGCTAGGGTTGGGGGTGTCCTCCACCGGAGGGTGACAGTGCCGTCTCCGAGTTCGTCCTGGACATTCGTCGGAGCGGCGAGGAGTTCACTCTGCTCCCGAATGACGATTTCACTAGAGGTCAAAGATGGACCTTCGGAATTCAACGACCAGACGTTCACATGATACATTTTCGACAACGAGAGATCTTCCAGCTCGACGTCGGTGTGGTCCACGGTCCTGTTGTAGCAGGTCTGATCGACACGTGAGCAAACTTGTACGATGTACCTGAAGGTGCAAGAGAGAATTGTTAAGAGGCATCGTCGAGCGAGACCAGCGGCGGATATCGGGTGGGGTTCGCGGCTGTCTGAAAAAAGCAATTAGCGCTCCAGTGCGGAAGCCATCTACCTAGTTCGGATTTCGAAAATCCCTGGCGGTAGATACTCACTGGAAATAGTCGTCGTTCCATTGCAATCTGGGCACTTCACTGAAGAGCAAGGTGACTGTTCTAACACTATTGAACAATTTGTATTTGAAGGCGCTCGGCAGCAATGAGGGTGGTCCGTCGGGTCGGGCTCTCGGCAGAGCGAACTTGACGGACACCGGGTCCGAGTCCAGATCGAGCCTCGACGTCGCGGAAATTCTCGCGCGAACCTGAGCCTCGTACGCGTTAAAGGGCAGCAGTTTATCCACGAGGGCGACGGTGTCGTTGGTCAAGATTATTCTGCTGTCGCTGCTATTCAATCGGATGAGCGTGACCTCGTAGGTGATTTTCAAGGCTTCTTTCCAGCCGCCGTGCTCGGTTTCCTCCGGGGCTTTCCATGAGAGTTTCACCTCTCGGTCAAGGGTGTGGGTCATCCCGAGACGTCTGATCGGGGAAAGTTTCACTATAGACCCATGGCTTACGTTGAACTCCCAGCTGTTGTTGCCCAGAGCGTTGCTGCCGTTGATCCGGAAGAAGAATTCCGGAGCCATTTTATGATAGCTCGGAGTTGTATTGCTCGACCAGGAGCATGATTGGGGAGCGGTATGCTCAACAGGACAGGGTTTCCAACTCGCCCCAAAGGTGCGCGTTACCCCGAAGCTGATTTCTATAGTGTAATGTGTCTTGACCCTGTTCGGTGGATTCCTCCAGGTGCACGTCATGTTCGCGAAGGCATAAGAAGTACATTCGAAATCATGGACTTTCTCGGGTGGGGTTCCGACGAAGACAGATCTCGCGCAACCGGCGTAGTACACGGTATTGTTCTTCGCGTCCGGCCCACGGCCCAAGCACCATAGAGCCCCGGAGTCCTCGGCGGTGGCATTCTTCTTCACGTATGCAATCGTATTCTCGTCGACTTTCTCAACGAACTCGCTGGTCTCGTCGAGCTCTTTGCTATTCAAACGAAACAGCAAACTCGAGTGGTCTACGTGGACCTGCCACTCTCCTGCCTGATCTGTGAAGGTATTGTTCAGTAAACCACAGTTGATTCGGATTTCACTACCGATCACGTAGTTCACTGGTCTGTCCGGATAATCTGAAACGGGAATAAAAGAACAAGATTAATCAAATGGAATAGCGTGTAGATATCGTCCACGATTTGCGTATCTTCGAAAGCACTGGGTGTTGACGGAAGCGCGGCATCCCCAAATGAATAAATTCATAAGAGGCTCGCAACCCTCCTCGAACCACACCCAGACTCTGAGATCCGCTCAAGTCCGCTGATCCATATCAGATTCGCCACTCAGCCGGCTCAGGTGGTGAGGTCTATGCCCAAACAGAAATATGCTCTTCAGGGATTCTTTTCTCCGAAAAAGAGTGTAACGTTGTCGAATCGATCCGCTTCGCGTGGATTCGATATACCCGTGCTCAATATGAACCATCTGATCGCGGGGCGAGACCCTGTTCGATGTTTATCCATCAACTACAACAGGCTGGATCAGATTACGCCACTCATTTTCCAGCGTGAAATATTCTCATTTCGGTATGGGGGCGGAAGTCATTCCATTCCCCTGAGACGTTCACTTTCGCGCAGTAATGGAAAAGTGGACTTTGGTCGCTCCTGCTCGGCACCCACGCCCCGGGAATCTCCATGGGTGACAACGCCAGAGCCTCCAGAGAGACTTCCACGCAAAGAGCACCTTGGTATACTAACAAAGAGTCGTTTTGAAGGTTTGAATCAGAAAAAGGAACCGATTTCCTATAATACAACGCGACATGTGCCCATCGATGAGCAAGAACACTGACGGATCGTCGGATAGATCGTCGGATAGATCGTCGGATCTATAGGCATCGGATCGAATTCGAACTCGTGGGCTTCAAACTCGGCGGATCTTCCCATCCGACCCCGCTCCCAAACGGAGCTTGGAAGAATGGCCCGGAGACGACCGATAGCTGGACGTAGCAAACGACCGGATTATGATGTTCACGCATTAGCATAAGCCGCAAATATTCGATCTTCATGCGATCTTCGGCACCGGAGACATCCCGAAATGCCCTTCGTCCAGCCCTCGAGTGTCAGTCGGTATCGGATCAGCAAAAGCTTGATCGGTAAACAATATGAACGATGATCCGAACGCTGAACGTCCCGCTCCCGAGACGATTAACAATTGAGATTATAAAACCCAGCCGCAAAATCTCGAGCAGTGGATCGGTCGGTGGCGTTAGATTTGCCGATGGCGAGGCGAACGCCATCGAGTCTCGATCAGAAACCCGAGGTTATGTCTTTCAAGGTGGCCAAGGATGCGCATATGCGTGTGTTTGTACGAGTCTCACTCTCTCATTGTCTGCATGCTTCGTTCGATCCCCTGGGCAGTCTCGTCCGATTGTTGAAATCTGGCGCAGCACATCTGCCTGACGCCCGGCTCCTCAAATTATCACGAGCCGAATCTGAAACCCACATCATGCCCGCTATGATGCCCGGGGTTTGAACCCCTCAGGTGGCGACCAGGCCCGCTATGGATATTCGTGTCCTTTTTCTTTTTTCGCTTGTGTGTGCTCATCGAGTTACTGGCGGAGCTGCGACTGGATGTTGGGCTCTCGGTCGGTACGCCGCCGCCACCACCCGTCGGCTCTTCGCTAGTTCGATTGATGGGATACTGCTGCTCTGGTAGAGGAGTTCGGAGTTCGCTTCAACCAGAGGATCGTTTCGGTGTTTCTTATGTTTTATTGCAGGCGTGCTTCTTGAGGAGATCTTTCGTCGAGCGAAAGAGCCGACGTTTTATATCCCTTCGCGCCGGTCTTTTCGGGCTCGGTAGAAGTGTCACCTAATATTTCTGTCGCTCGTTTCCTATAAATGAAGGCAGAAGAGATTTTTTCATCCGAATCACGAAGGATATGCCGGCCACGAGATTCCGCGGAATCGGGAGAAATACTGCGTCTTTACGCTCGTTCCGTACGGATTGACTTTATAAATCAGCTCACAGCCGATCGACGGATTGGCGGAGCGCAGTGACTCTCACGCGATTCATTCGCTGGCGTCGCGTGGTTGGCACGGATATGGCCTGAAGGCGTCCCGTTGTAACACGTCGGCGGAGGTGGGTCTCCCTCGGACTGTTTCTATTCTCAGCTCAGTCAGGCGTCGAGTAAGAATTCATTTAGCATGTTTGTCGACAAATTCGTCTATTCACAGTGTTCTCGGGGCTTGGAACTCCCACAAGTCGAGAATTTCGTCGAATAAAAACCTTTCGAAGAAACAAAACAACATTCCATTGCCGAAAATGAGACTCGTCGAGGACCCCTCCGTTGAAACGAGAGACTGGTTCACCGTGAACGCGTACACTCGTTTCCAGTGGTTGAAGATCTCTTTGCGCAGTAAACGAATGCGAGGAGATCGGCGATAGTCGTCTCCCGAGACACCACAGATCATACCTGACCGTAGTGCCGCTTGGATCAGCTACCGATTAGAGACTCTACCTTACCGAAATAGTAGTTGTCCCTCAACGACGCGACGCTAGAGCATTCGAAACGCGACGAAGACTATCCCTAACCGCGAGAAAATGAAACCAGACTAGAACGGTGTCGTTTTCTCGAAGTCGCGGTCAGCCTAGCGGCTTCTTCGGTAAGGATAAGAAATACCTAATAGAGATTTTCCCAAGAATCATCCTCTAGACTTAAAGCGGAGGAACGCGACGCTATCTGGTGTTGAGACCGATTCCAGACGAATCTCGCCACTGTCGGGGAGCTCAGGAAACTACGCACAGGAATAGTGATGAACTTCATCACCGGATCTCGTACCGTCTTTCGTAGCAATCGACGTATTTTCTATAAATAGCTGCTACGAGCCATGACTGAACGGAATATTTCCCTCGGTGCTCGGACCTGTTTCCGCTCGGCAGCTGCAGCGATTCCTGCAACGTTCCGACTCCATTCGGAGATGACACACATGTACACGAGATCTCAGTCCAGCAGATCAATCATTCCGCCATGGGAAAGGAAACGCGCACGGGAATTGTCCCGGATGAATTGGCATTCGTATTCGCATCCTCAACAATGACCGCCTTACGCGACGTATCCGTCCAGCGTTGCCCTTCTTCGTCCATCTGTGCATACATGGTATTTCTCTCGAGCACTATTTGACGGGTTGCGGAATTCCGTGAGCTCATTCTGCCGCCGGCTACGAGCACGCTGCACTTCGCCAGAATGCACGCTCCCCAGCAGGATATTGGGCCGGTCACATTCGGAGATCTGAAGCGATACAAGTTGTCTATTCTCTGGTCGCGCCGGCTCCACTCGCTGGGTTCGTTCATTGTGTGTGACCATTTGATTGTGAGTCGTCGCTCCGCGGCAAGGCTCTCCAAAACCCTCCGGTTCCTGGCCGCCGCGAGAAAATGCGGCATCCTACAAACCATCTGCAATGGGCCGTATCCGAGGATGTTTTCCGACTCTTCCCCCATCTTCTCATTGAGCTCCGCGTGTCTCTCGCCTGCCTAGCCGGCCGCCGCATACCTCTGACAGAGTCGTAGGTCTGAAGAGCGAACAATCCAGAATCGCCAGAATTCAGATTGGCTCGGTATTGCCAGGAGCGCTCGGCTATACGACAGCGAAGAGGAAGAGGTTATCGACATCAACGACGACGAAGACTGCGCTGACGGAGAATGCGCGAGTCTTTCTCGATGTGTGTTCGATCACGTTCCGAGAAATTAACACGATGCCCCAGAGCAATGTTCCTCAGTCAGGCTTTGTGTCTCGCGACCGAGTACGCGAGAGGAGTAGGTAGTTGAACATCGATCAACAATGCGGAGGGGGAACGAACCGAATCATCCATTCGATTCCGTCGGCTTTCAGGTGCTTCTCGGTATTCTCAGCTACTTATTGAACGATTGCAAACTGGTACTCAGGTGCGGAACTCGGCCGACTCTGGAGCGCGATACGCTTGCGTACACTGTACATACTTTCGGTTCCCGGTCAGGCCGCGCATGGTCAACCTGGCCGATCGAGAAGAAGATGCTCAACGTCGCGGTCTTAACCAGCTTAGTTTCTCACAGAGCCTCGGGATTTAATTCTTTTCTCTTCTTCTCTGGCTCTTCTCAGGACTGAGCCGAGAAGAAAATCTCGTTGATGCATGCCTTCGTTCAGTCGTCTCGTCCTCTCCCTCCTCTAGCTTGCGAGCGAGCGAGCCAGCCGGCCGGCCGGCGAACGAGCTAGCCTGCCCGAGACGGAGCGCTCAGCCTAAGATGGCACGCAGACCGGCTGGGCGTCTGCAGTAAATCAGGTGCCCCTCAGTCCAAACACTCGACGGAATTCGACTTGGGATCGCTCTACGCTTCAGCCCCATTTGACATGCTGCGGCAAAAGAATATTCACCGAACCATGTTCCAGGACATTGTGCGCGAGTTACGCCTTCGCTCCACGGACTCCCTCGATGAGCTCTTCCCTAATCTCTCACTCACTCAAAGATTCCCTGACTAGAGATAGCTCGAGAGGTCTTGAGGCGATTCTTGTCCCGGGAAGTCTTGGAAAACTCATCTAGTTTGAGGCCATAGTCGTGCGTCGTGCGCATAGCGAATGAGCCATCGGATGCAGTTGCTCGAATTCTTTTGCAGTTCGATGCGGATGATAACGGATGAGTTCGCTCTGAGTCGTCCGTGAATTTCAATGAAAATAATTGAGAAGGCTTGTCGTTGGAACAGCGACTTCCTGTCCTCGCTTGTAGGAAAACCGCATGGAGGGTCCGTCAGAAGTGAGCGACAGGCGGACCTACGGACGCACGGTTCCAGTGGTCGGAAAAACAAACGCGGACGGCACAAACGACGATTCGAGGAAACGGAAAACGTTCAAAACTGGAAACGTCTGATTCCGTACGCAGAGAACAAGTTAACTGTTCTTGAAAGGCCCCGAGGTCAAAGCACCCGAAACGAAAATGCGTTTCACCAGCAGCAACGACAAGTCGACGACGTCGACAACAACTTCGCGGGTAGAATCAGAAGCACAACGTCCCGGCGCTCGTCGGAAGGCGAAGGTTCGTCTTGTGCTAGCTCACACGCCGCCTCGCTGGGAGGAATCAGCGGAACGAAGTCATCGGTAATTAACAACTTGTCGAAACATTTGCGGTGTTGTTCGTTCTCAGAAATCACCTTAATACGCATTTTTATTTTCAGCAGCAGAGGTCCAACGGATGGAATCGTTCGTCTAGGAACGTCACAAGCCGCATTTTCTCATTTCTATAAAAAGCGATTCTTTTCGGACACCTCATTCCGTGGGGATCTACCGCGAACCAGTCCGTCCGATCAACAGAGCCTACCTTCCAGAATCGTACGGACACGCAGTTTCTAGTATTTCGATTTGTTCATCGCCGAGCCGGTGGAGTCGTTTATACACGACTCGCACGACCAGTTGGATTGCATTTTCTGTTTCGGTCAGCAAGATACGCGGTGCGGCGGAGCTTCCCCGATTTGTCGCCTTGAGCCGGGGAGGAACGAAGTGAGATCGGAAACCAATCCCATGAGATTGGAAACGAGGACCTTCGTGAAAGAAACGGAAACTGAACTTCTACCCTAGCGAACATTTATCGAAAATCCCTGGGGGCTCGACGAAGGGTTCTCATAAACCCTTTTCTCCCTGGGGACGTGCCTCCGAGCCATGCGGAGAGCGCCCCCAAATGCTGGACAGGAGCATGCCTATTGCTAGAAGAAACGCTCGGTCGCATAGCGAATCGACTGCGAAGGACTTTCGTTTCCTGAAGTTTCCTGTCGAATAGCGCTGAGTGAATGTCTCACTCGACGGCGACTACGTTTCGTTCTCTTAAAACTCGATGAAATTTAAATTCTAAACCGCAGCAAGCTTCAAGGTTTCTTCATAACACAATCATCATTTATCAACATTCGGTCTTGTTGTTTTGAG